TGTACTCATTACCTCGCCCATGTAATTGTAACCCCTCTGTACAGTATTTTCACAAAAAAAATAAAATAAAAAACTTCTTATAAAAACATTAAAAAAGGGCTGGGAAGGTGGCTCAGTGGTAGAGTGCTTGCCTTGCATGCATGAGGCCCTGAGTTCGATTCCTCAGCACCACATAAGCAGAAAAAAAAAGCCGTAAGTGGCACTGTGGCTCAAGTGGTAGAGTGCTAGCCTTGAGCTGAAGAGCTGAGGGACAGCGCCCAGGCCCAGAGTTCAGGCCCCAGGACCGGACCAAAAAAATAAAATAAAATAAAATAAAGTTTCAGGGACTTTCATCACAGCAGCCCTAGGAAGCAAGTCCAATGAGCCTGACATTATAGATGAGGAAGCTGAGGCTCTGGAGGGTTTAATGGTTTGTTCCAGGACACAGGGGATGTGACTTGCAGATGGATTCAGGAGGGGAGCATGTGTGGAGGACCTCTGCCATAGTCACTTGTGTAGACACAGAGAAAAAAAGCTCTATTCTTAAATTAGAAAAGCTCAGCATTAGCAACTTACCAGCCTTGCACACATGGATAATCTCAAACCCAATGTTTTCACCTTCTCTGTCACAGTCAGTCCAGATCACCAGGGCCTGGCACTGCCGTATCTCTCGTTCTAGAGTTTTCTAAAGTTAACAGGCAAAGAGCAGTGAGAACAGAATCCAGAGCAACTAGTTGACACTTCTACACTAAAGAGATCTGACAGGCTTAGTGCTGTTCTTGAAGTGCTCCAGCTTTGTGAGGGAAAAAAAACACACTGTTCTTACTAGCACAACTTTCCAGAAATTCAAGTGAGCAGCTAGAGGGAAAAAAAGCAACACTGCTCTTACTGGCACACCCTCCAGATTCTAAACAGCTAGAGAACTGCAGTTTAATACAATTTCATTAATATGAAATCTACAACTCAGCTACACACTTCTACCTCCAGTGGTTCTGATTATGGGCTAAAAAAAGTTAACTGCACTAATTATGGTCCTAAGAAAGTTTCCCAGTTATCAGCGAACTGACTCTAGGTGCTAGAAACTAACAATTTACTGTCAATCAACAAGTTAGCCTACCTAGGGATGAGGTAAGGGCTAGAATAATACTTATTTCCTGGGATTTAGTAAAAGCAACTACTATTCACAAAAAAGGCTTTTAGTCCCTTGGATACTTTAGTTCAAAAAGCCTCATTTATACAACACATGGGAATAACAAATCCAAGTTCAATGTATGAAAAACAAATCATGCAGATGGGAATTTGTGAGTGTTCCAACTTCAGTGCCGTATCTTCCTACCTTGATGTCTACAAAATTGTCTGGGCAGTACTTTTCAATTTCTGCTTCAAAGAGGACAAGTGGGTTGCAGCTCTGCCTAGAAAATAAAAGCACAAAGAGCCTCAGCTTGCAATATGATGGTGAGCCTTTATAATAATGATAATGTTCAGTTCCAGTGTGTTGATTTGTGAACCTCCCACGAAAATAGCAAAAGGAAGCCAAGTATAGTCCCTGTGCTTTGAGAGGCTGTGATGGGAGGATTGCTTCAGTTCAGGTTTTTTGTTGTTTTTTTTTTGTTTGTTTGATTTTTGTTTTTTCCCAGTCATGGTTCTTGAACTCTGGGCCTGGGCGCTGTCCCTGAGCTCTTCAGCCTAAGGTGAGCACTCTACAACTTGAGCCACAGCGCTACTTCCAGTTTTCTGGTGGTTAATTGAAAAGTCTCATAGACTTTTCCTGCCCGGGCTGGCTTTGAACCATGATCTTCAGATCACAGCTTCCTGAGTAGCTAGGATTACAGGTTTGAGGCACTGGCACCCCGTGAGTTCAGGAATTTGAGGACACACTGGGAAACACCAGAGACCCAACCCTGGCCTCTCACCAAAAACAGAAAGCTGCATACCTGAAATCCTAGCACTTAAGGATTAGGTAGACAGCAGAATTGGAAATTCAAGGTCAGCCTGGGGTATATAGCAAGACCTTGTCTAAAACAACAACAACAACCACCACCCACCCCAAATAAAAAATACATGTGTTGGAGGCATGACTCAGTGGTAGAATGCCTGCTTCGATAAGAACAAGGCCCCAAGAAGTGGAGCTGGGGCTCAAAATGGTAGATCACTATCCTTGAGCAAAAGAGCTCAGGGACAGTGGCCAGGCCCCTGAGTTCAAGCCCCATGACCAGCAAAAAAATAAACAAAAGAACAAAAAGAACAAGGCCCTAAGTTCAAACTCCAGTTGTGTCAAAATCAATCATTAACCAAGAACATTTCAACAACAGTGAAAAACAAAAACAAAAAAACCCAACCCAGAGGACTATAAGCAAATTTGTGGAGTTCTATATAATCCACTGTGCACTCTGCCAAGACTTTCTAGAATCCTTTCATACCTATCTGCAAGAACATAAATGTGCAACCTGAAAAGGTCTATTTTGAGAGAACATCTAAAAGTAGTGTTTATTCCAACGATAGTATAAAGACTTATAATCGGGGCTGGGAAGGTGGCTCAGTGGTAGAGCGCTTGCCTTGCATGCCTGAGGCCCTGGGTTCGATTCCTCAGCACCACATAAGCAAAAAGAAAAACAAGCCGGAAGTGGTGCTGTGGCTCAAGTGGTAGAGCGCTAGTCTTGAGCTGAAGAGCTGAGGGACAGCACCCAGGCCCAGAGTTCAGGCCCCACAATAGGACCCAAAAAAAAAAAAAAAACAAAAAACAAAAAAAAAACTTATAATCAATGGGGCTGGGAAGGTGTCTCAGTGGTAGAGTGCTTGCCTTGCATGCCTGAGGCCCTGGGTTCGATTCCTCAGAACCACATAAGCAAAAAGAAAAAAAAAGCCGGAAGTGGCGCTGTGGCTCAAGTGGTAGAGCGCTAGCCTTGAGCTGAAGAGCTGAGGGACAGTGCCCAGGCCCAGAGTTCAGGCCCCACGACCGGACCCCCCTCCCCCCCAAAAAAGACTTATAATCGACCAGATAACCTTGGGTCATTTTAGTATTACTAATGACATGGTAACATCAACATGCCTGTACTACCTTCAACATTTTTCTCAATTTACTATAACTAGAAGTCCTTCACCTACAAATTGTACTCACCATTTTCGAAACTGCATCTGGAAATCATGAGCCAGCAAATGTCCAGAAACCGAGGTCATTACCATGGTAACACTCTGAATAATAACAAAATACAGGTTATTTGTTTGTTTTGGTCAGTCATGGGGCCTGAACTCTGGACCTGGGAGCTGTCCCCTCAGCAATTCAACTCAAGGCTAGCACTCTACCACTTGAGCCACAGTGCCAGTTCCAGCTTTCTTTTCTGCTTATGTGATGCTGAGGAATCGAACCCAGGGCCTCATGCATGCAAGGCAAGCACTCTACCACTGAGCCACCTTTCCAGACCCCAGGGTTTTTTTTTGTTTTTGTTTTTGCCAGTCCTGGAGCTTGAATTCAGGGCCTGGGTACTGTCCCTAAGTGGCTTTTGCTCAAGGCTAACAACTCTACCATTTGAGCCACAGTGCCACTTCAAGCTTTTTCTTTTTATGTGGTACTAAGGAATTGAACCCAGGGCTTCATGCATGCTAGGCAAGCACTCTTATCACTAAGCCACATTCCCAGCCAAGTTACTTCTCTTTAAGTCCAAAACTGAGACTCTTAATTCAGTAACTGAAACTTACTAGCTAGTGCTCTACCAACTGAGTTATACCTTCAACCCCAAGTTACTTTTTGTTTAGATTTTTTTTTTTTTTTCAAACTGTATTTGTCTTTTCTTTTTGGTACTGGGGATCCAACCTAGGACACTGCACTTGCTAGGCAAGTGCTTTGCCACTGAGCTACATCCTAGCCCCCAAGTTACTTTTTTGGTGTGCCTATCCTGAGACTTGAACTCAGGACCTAGGCATTGTCCCTGAGCTCTTGTGCTCAAGGCTAGTACTCTACTACTTGGGCCAGAGCTTCACTTCCAGCTGTTTAGCAGTTAAATGGAGATGGTCTTATGAACTCTGCTGGCTTCAAACCGTGATGCTCAAATCTTAGCCTCCTCAGTAGCTAGGATTACAGGCATGAGCCACTGGTGCTGGCAAAATGGGCTTCTGTGTATGTGCCAGTCCTGGGGCTTCAACTCAGGGCTTGGGAGCAGTCTCTGAGCTTCTTTTGCTTAAGGCTAGTACTCTATCACACTTGAGTCGCAGCTCCAATTTGGGCTTTTTTGGTAGTTTAGTGGAGATAAGTCTTACAGACTTGCCTGTACAGGCTGGCTTAAAACCATGATCCCAGGGTCTTAGCCTTCTGAGTAGCTAGGGATTACAGGTGTGAGACACTGGTGTCCAGCTATAAAATACTTTTTTACAGTTTTTTTTTTTTTAATCAAATATAACTTTAAAATATATTTTACCAAACATAACTGTAAAAAAGATAAGAGATCCGGGTGCCGGTGGCTCACACCTGTAATCCTAGCTACTCAGGAGGCTGAGATCGGAGGATTGAGGTTCAGGGCCGGCCTGGGCAAGAAAGTCCGTGAGACTCTTTTTTTTTTTGGCCGGTTGTGGGGTTTGAACTCTGGGCCTGGGCACTGTCCCTGTGCTCTTCAGCTCAAGGCAAGCACTCTACCACTTGAGCCACAGAGCCACTTCTGGTTTTCTAGTGGTTTATTGGAGATAAGAGTCTCACGGATTTTCCTGCCCGGGCTGGCTTTGAACCCAGATCCTCAGATCTCAGCCTCCTGAGTAGCTAGGATTATAGGCCTGAGCCACCCGAGCCCGGCTAAGCCCATGAGACTCTTATCGCTAATGAAACATCAGACAACCAGAAATGGTGCTGTGGCTCAAGTGGTAGAGTGCTCATCCTTGAGCTGAAGAGCTCAGGGACAGCACACAGGCCCAGAGTTCAAGCCCCATAGCTGACCAAAAAAAAAAAGATACAAGAAGCCAGGGGCTGGTGGCTTACACCTGTAATCCTAGTTACTCAGGAGTCTGAGACTGAGGATCATGATTCAAAGCCAGACTGGACAGGGAAGTCCATGAGACTGTTACCTCCAATAAACCACCAGAAAACCAGTAGTCCTGTGGCTTAAGTGGTAGAGCACTTGCCTTGAACTGAAGAGCTCAGGGACAGTGCCCAGGCTGAGTTCAAGCCCCACGACCACCACCAACAACAACAAAAAAAAGATAAAAGAGAGGAACTTACTAAAGGGAATACAAAACAACACTCCAGGGGCTGGGAAGGTGGCTCAGTGGTAGAGCGCTTGCCTTGCATGCATGAGGCCCTGGGTTCGATTCCTCAGCACCACATAAGCAAAAAGAAAAAAGCCGGAAGTGGTGCTGTGGCTCATGTGGTAGAGCGCTAGCTCTGAGCTGAAGAGCTGAGGGACAGCGCCCAGACCTAGAGTTCAGGCCCCGCGACCGGACCCAAAAAAAAAAACAAAAAAAAAAAAAAAACACTCCAAAAAGGGGCTAGGAAGGTGGCTGAGTGGTAGTGTGGTTGCCTTGCCTGCATGAGGCCCTGCCTGGGTTCGATTCCTCAGCACCAGATAAGCAGAAAAAGCCAGAGGTGGCACTGTGGTTCAAGTGGTAGCGGGCTAGCCTTGAGCTGAAGAGCTGAGGGACAGCACCCAGGACTAGAGTTCAGGCCATGGGACTGAGAAAAAAAAAAAAAAAAAGTTTGTTGGGAAGAAGCAAAGTTAACACAACTCTTCAAAGCAAAAAGCTATAATAACACCATCACCATTCTAATTCTAGTACTACGATGCTTTTTGTATCATATGTTACAAAATGTCAATGATATACAATCTTTAGGTAAAAAAAATGGTTACTGAAGACACTGACATATTGTAGGTATGCTCAGGCTGATTCTTCATTACTGTAAAACAGCAATTTAGAAAGGAATTACAACAGGCAATTATTTGCTTTAGCTACAGCTTCAACCTCAAGGATTAGACACATGGATCTGAGAGTACACTTGAGTTTTATGATGAAAACATTTTAACACTCACCTGGCCACACAGATGATAATCAAATTCATAGATCTTATTGAATTTAGAAAGTCCTTCTCTCTATAAAGCAAACAAAAAACATATAATAAATCACACCAAAAATGATACCTCAAATTACCTTGCCTATGTAATTGTAACCCCTCTGTACAGAATTTTCACAATAAAAAAAAAAAAAGATACCTCAACGTGCAGATAAGGGAATATTATAAAGGCAACATCTATTTAGTGGCCTGCTAAAACAGAATTACCAAGCAAATACTTGATAGAATCCACAGAATTTTTATGTTGGAGTGAAAACTTCAGATCTATTGATGCAACAAAACAAAACAAAAACTCCAGCTCTATTGACGCCAGGCAGCCGTGGCTCATGCCTGTAATACTAGCTATGAGGGAAGCTGAGATCTGAAGACAGCCCAAATAGAAAAGTCCATGAGACTCTTATCTCTAATTACCCACAAAAAAGCTGGAAGTGGAGCTATGGCTCAAGAGATGAGCAGAAAAGCCCAGGGACAGTGCCCAGGCCTTGAGTTCAAGTCCCAGGACTGTCACATATGCATATGCACACACACACACACAGTTTTGGCCACTGTAGAAAACTGTTTGGTAGTTCCCTCAAAAGTTAAACTTAGGTATATGTCTTGACAATTTTACTGCAGAAATTGTACCTCCCCCCAATTATAAACAAGCATTCAAATAAAAATGTGTATTTGTGTGTTTAATCTTGAAAGGAATGTAATAGTAGATGTATGCCATATGGGTGGATTTCAAAAACATGCTAAGTGAAAGAAGTCTGACACAAAAGGCCATGTACTGTATGGCTCCATTCACAGGAAAGGCTGAACAGGCAAATCAACGTGGACAGAAAGCAGACTGGGGAGGGAGAGCGGTTGAGAAGGGGTGAGAGAGTGTGACTGGATGTTTATGGGGTCTCCTTTTGGAGGTTATAAAAATACCTTCTGGAACTAGACAGTGGTAATGTCTGACTAACACAATGAATTATAAACTTTAATAGTTAAATGAGGAAACTCATGCATTTTACCATACTCAACCATTCTCATACAATCTGTATCACCCCCCCCCCCTTCCTTCCACTGCTTCTCTTAGTTTTTGTTTTTTAGTTGTTATTATAAAGATGATGCACAGAGGGGTTACGTTATGTCAGGTAATGAGTACATTTCTCTCTTTTTTTTTGCCCATCCTGGGGCTTTGAACTCTGCATCTGGACAGTCCTTGAACTTGTTTTGCTCAAGTCTAGTGCTCCACCTCTCAAGCCACAGTGCCACTTCTGGCTTTTTCTGAATAGTTTGTTCAAGATAAGACTCAAGGACTTTCCTGCCTGGGCTGTCTTTGAATCATGATCCTCAGATCTCAGCCCCTGAGTAGTTGGGATTACAGGGCGTGAGCCACTGGTGCTTGGGAAGTAAATTTCTTTTTGGACAGTATCACTCCTTCCCTTGCTCTCTCTCAGTATGCTTCTCTTGTTTTAACTCATTGGCTCCTCTTTCCACCACACTAGACTCCTAATTTCTCATTGGTTTTGATCATGCCATACAGTATCAAAACAATGGGCTGTTTTTTGTTTTGTTTTGGTGTATGCTGGTCCTGGGGCTTCAACAGAGAGCTTGAACAAAGACGCTGTCTTTGAGCTTTTTTGTGCAAAGTAGCTCTACCACTTGAGCCACAGTTCCATTTCTAGCTTTTTTAGTAGTTAATTGGAGATAAGAGTCTCACAGGCTTTCCCGCCCAGGCTGGCTTCAAACTATGATCCTCATATCTTGGCCTCCTATGAGTAGGTTGGATTACAGGCATGAGCCATCTGCACCCAGCTTTGAACTGTTTGTTATACTGTTTCCGTGCCTAGCAAAACTTTCTAAATTCAGTCTAAATGTTTATTAAGAGTGTCCCAATTTTCACTGTATTAGGAGTTAGAATATAGAAATTAATGAAGTAGTCTTTGTTCTTTGAAGTTTAGAGTTCAAGGAGCAATGAAAGAAAAGGAAAAAATAACTGCACAATGCATTACCTAACTGGTAGGGTGTCATGACAGCTAAGAGTCCCTAGTCTAGTGCTGGAAGCATGTGAGGGTAAGCTTCCTTCAAGAAACATTTACAGAACAATGAAGAATGAAAGTGTGTAGTCGAATTTATTTTCAGGAAGCCCAGAGCCCAAGAAGTGGGCAAACTTTGGGATAGGATGTTCAGTACTGGAGAGAGGTTAAATTCTCAGCTAACACATACCCAATCTTGGCTCCACCAACCCCCTCCCCCCAATGCCTGCCCCATCCCAGAGGTCTAGGGTCCCTGGGGATTTTTTATAAAGAATAGGCACCTCTGCTCCATTCTGTTTGAAATGTCCCTCTGGGCTGGGGGCAGGGCTCAAGTATTTCAGTGCTGTTCAGCAAGCAAAGATGAGTACAAATCCCAATTACATGTGTGTGGGGGGGGGGCATTTTATTATCTATTTACTGGAGAGATTTTTTTTCTGTAAGTTTTCCCTACGCAGGTGCTGGTGATGGATTCCAGGGGCCTTCCTGGTACATGCTAGCCTAAAGCTCTACCTCCTGAGTTACACTCCCAAGTACCTAACCCTTCCTTTTTAAAATACTGTTTCTCAGATTGGGTCCGACTAATCTTGCCTGGCTTGCCTCAAGGTTGGGATCCTCCTGCCTCTTGTCTCCCAAGCATCCATAGCTCAACTGCACTATCCAACTCAACTTTTTTGTTTGTTTGTGTTTGAGACTGGGGATATAAACTCAAGGCCTCACCTTGGTAGGCTGGCACTCTTCCCATACTTGTCTTTCATCCCCAAATCTGACAGTGCTACCAAGAAAAGTAAGGGGCTGTGTCTGTCAGAGGATGGAGAACGGTCGGGGACGGATGAATGGAGAGAGCAAAGCTTGAATTCCAAGTTAAAGGAGTTTGGTTAGGGGTTTCCAACCAAACGGAACTTCAGGTCACGAGGCAAGAATATTAAAACAAACTAAACAAACTCCTCCAGAATCGCTCCAGACCCACAGAACAACAGCCAGTGTTCTTCGGCGCTTCGGAGTATTGAACAAGTTTGGGAACATGGCTGCGGGCAAAAATGATCAGAAGTTTCCAGAAAACTGCGGGAGATGCTCAAACTGTATTTGAAAATGCCGAGCGATTCGAGAAAGGCAGTCGAGAGGCCTTTCGCCGACCCCGACGGGAGGCGGGTAAGGCCTCCGTGCAGTCCCGCTCCACGGCCCTTAGGGAGCCCAGGTGCTCCGGAATACTTCTTACCCGCCTCATACGACCGTTGGACAGCAGGTCGGCAATGCCCTTGGCCGCGTCGTTCTTCTCAGCCACACAGAGGACTTTCCGAACGCCTCGGAGAGCCACTTCCATGGCGGCGCGGGACAAGACACGGCTTCCAGACCGCTGCAGCCAGGGGAGCGCGAAGCGGGAGACCGGGAAAATCATGCCGAGGCCCGGAGAGGGCAGCCGCTGCTCCCTGGGCGCCCGCGCATGTTGGGAAAGCCAAAACTAGGCCCTTCTGGCAGACACCGTAAGGGAAGTTGAGCCTTCCGGCGGTGCCCGCACTTTTTGGTCACTTGCCCGTCAGGACACCAGCCTCACCCGCGCTACTCCAGCCGCCGCGGCCACTACGCCACCTCCACCCGCAACTCAACTTACTACTTCCGCCCGCCTTCTCGGACCACTTCCGTAAGGCGAGCTTGCCCCCCCACTCCCCGCAACAACCGTGAACTACAACTCCCAGACTGCCTTGCACTCCCGGAATTCTCACCCAAGCTCGTTTTTTTCCCTTTCCCGCCCCACCACTCCTTTCCTTCATAGCGGTTGGTTAATCAAACTTATTCTTGGCACCTCTGTACTGGGTTGTCCAAGGGGCTCTCTTAAAAGCAATCTTTTTTCTCTTGCTCAGAAGTCTTTTGCTTCCGGGTCACGCGATGCTGACGACCAGGCGTCATGTGATACCAAGATGGCGGCGCCGCGGTAGGTAGCTCCTAGTTGTGGCGTTCAAGGATCCGCGACGGTTTTTCGCCTTCTGGCCGTGGGGGCGGCAACGCTTGGTTGACCCCTGCGGCGGTCCGTAGCTGGTGTTAGACAGCCGATCCGAGCCCAGGCTGTTGCGGTCGCAGTGCGTTCAGGGTAGGGTTGGTGACCTCGCTGCAGTTGCTTTCCACTGGTCGTGCCCGGCGGAAGAAGAGCAGAGCGGCCAGTCTTTTCGGTCATCTTTGGAGTTGCTGAGAGCTCCGGAGGAGTTACACCTCTGAGGGGCTGCGGAAGTTCGAGTCCTCAGGTGTGTGAGAGGCTGCCTCGGATCGCTGGGGGAGCAGAGGCCGCGAGGTTTTCGCTTCCTCCTGCAGAGCCCTGGCTGCGCCGCGTCGATCAGCCCTGCGTTCTTTCCCACTTCCTCTCAATGTTCTCTCCATACATCAGGAAATATGATCAGCGCCCCTGACGTGGTAGCCTTCACCAAAGAAGAGGAGTACGAAGAAGAGGCCTACAATGCACCAGCCCTGCCAGAGGAATACTCCGTGCCGCTCTTCCCCTTTGCCAGCCAGGGAGCCAACCCGTGGTCTAAACTGTCCGGGGCCAAGTTCTCGCGGGACTTCATCCTTATTTCTGAGTTCTCTGAGCAGGTGGGACCCCAACCCTTGCTGACCATCCCCAATGACACCAAAGTTTTTGGCACTTTTGATCTCAATTACTTCTCCCTGCGGATCATGTCTGTGGATTACCAGGCTTCCTTTGTGGGCCATCCCCCTGGTTCTGCTTATCCCAAGCTGAACTTCGTGGAGGACTCCAAGGTGGTGCTGGGAGACTCCAAGGAAGGGGCCTTTGCATATGTGCACCACCTTACTCTCTACGACCTGGAGGCCCGTGGCTTTGTGAGGCCTTTTTGCATGGCTTATATTTCAGCAGACCAGCATAAAATCATGCAGCAATTCCAGGAGCTGTCAGCTGAATTTTCAAAAGCATCCGAGTGCTTGAAAACAGGCAACAGGAAGGCATTTGCTGGGGAGCTTGAAAAAAAACTCAAAGACTTGGATTACACCAGGACAGTGTTGCACACAGAAACAGAGATCCAGAAGAAAGCTAATGACAAAGGCTTTTATTCATCCCAGGCAATTGAGAAAGCCAATGAACTGGCCAGTGTGGAGAAATCCATCATTGAACATCAAGATCTGCTGAAGCAGATCCGCTCATACCCTCATCGGAAGGTGAAGGGGTCAGATAAGTTTCTGGATGAGATGGAGCATATCCAGGATCAGGCCAACCAAACATCCACTACCTCTAATCCCGATGAATCTGCTGACTCAGATCTCTATACCTGCAGACCAGCTTATACTCCAAAACTCATCAAAGCAAAGTCCACCAAGTGTTTTGACAAGAAGTTAAAGACCTTGGAGGAGCTCTGTGATACTGAGTATTTCACTCAGACTCTGGCCCAGCTTAGCTACATCGAGCACATATTTAGAGGGGACTTGTGCTACCTCTTGACCAGTCAGATTGACAGAGCCCTTCTAAAACAACAGCATGTAACAAACTTTCTCTTTGAAGACTTGGTAGAAGTTGATGATAGGATAGTGGAGAAACAAGAGACTATACCCCCTCAGCCCAGTCAGGACAGGCTGCCTACCAGGACTCTGGAAGAATGCCCAATTCCTAAAGTGTTAATTAGTGTTGGTTCTTACAAGTCCAGTGTGGAGTCTGTGTTAATCAAGATGGAGCAAGAACATGGAGATGAGTACAAGGAAGTAGAGGTGACAGAATCAAGCAGTTTTGACCCCCAGGAAAACCTGGATTACCTGGATATGGATATGAAAGGTAGTATCAGCAGTGGGGAAAGCATTGAGGTTCTGGGCACAGAGAAGTCCAACTCTGTGCTGTCTAAATCTGACAGCCAGGCCAGCCTCACAGTGCCGTTGAGCCCCCAAGTGCTCCGGAGCAAAGCTGTCAGCCACAGGACCATCAGTGAGGACAGTATTGAAGTCCTGAGTACCTGCCCTTCTGAGGCCCTCATCCCGGAAGACTTTAAGGCCAGCTACCCAAGTGCCATTAATGAGGAAGAATCCTATGCAGACAGTGAAGGGGCAATCCACTTCCAAGCAAGCATCCGCCCCTCAGAGTTATGTGAGATCCAGGAGGACAGCTTGGAAAACACTCCTTCTCAAATAGATTCTTCCTGCTGTATTGGGAAGGAGATCGAAGGCCAGCTGGTGTCATTCCCCACTCCAGTCCACACTCTCTCTGATGAGGATGGTGTGGTGAGCATCCCCCCACAGCGCTTCAGGCAGAAGGACCAGGGGTTCCATGTAGACTTTGCAGCAGAAAACATCAATCCTCACCAAGACAACAGTTGTGAAGTGTTCCCTGCTTCTGAGTTGGACCCAAGCTGCCTTCTGGCTAGTCGTGATGTCAGTAAGACAAGCCTGGACAACTACTCAGATACCACTAGCTACGTGAGCAGTGTAGCATCAACCAGCTCAGACAAGATGCCCTTTGCTCATCCTACCAGCCTATCCTCAGAGAGACACAGAAAGAGGGCTGGCCAGAATGCCTTAAAATTCATCCGCCAGTATCCCTTTGCCCACCCGGCCATCTACTCCCTGCTCAGTGGAAGGACACTTGTGGTCCTGGGAGAAGATGAGACCATAGTCAGGAAGCTTGTGACAGCACTGTCCATCTTTGTTCCCAACTATGGCCGCTGTGCTAAGCCTGTGAAGCACTGGGTCTCCTCCCCTTTGCACATTACGGATTTTCAGAAGTGGAAGCTTATTGGCCTACAGAGGTAATTGGTTTCAGAAGGTGGGGAAGGGCCCCCAGCCAGTTAGAGGTGAGGCAGGATGGTGCCATGTACCCAGAAAAGAGGCTTGGTTTCTAGACAGGGTTCAATATCAACTCACTGTGTTACTTAGGGCAAATCACTCTCCTTTCCTTGCCTGCCAAGGAAAGGTCACAACAGTTGCCAACTTTGGGGTTTCTATGCTCAGCTGAGAGAATTCTTAGGGTGACTTTTAAATATGGGTTCTGTTGGGTGCTGGTAGATCACACCTGTAATCCTTGCTACTCAAAAGGCTGAGATCTGAGGATTGTGGTTCGAAGCCAGCTGAAGCAGGAAAGGCCACGAGATGCTTATCTCTAATTAGCCACCAGAAAGTTCTGGAAGTAGAGCTGTGGCTCAAAGTGGTAGAGGTCTATCCTTGAGCAGATAAGCTCAGGGACAGTGCCCAAGCCCTGAGTTCAAGCCCCACAACTGACAGAAAAAAAAAAATTCATGCGTTATTAGACTCTATTCCTAAAGATTATGATTCAGTTGGTCTGGAGTAAGACATGGATTTTATCTGGTTTATTGTCATTTTGGGGAATGACTAGACTTAGGATCTTTTTTTTCTTTTCAGTACTGGGGCTTGAATTCAGAACCTGGGCACTGTCCTTTAGCTTTTTTTGATTAAGGCAAGAGTCTCACAGGTTTTCCTGCATACGCTAGCTTTGAGCTATGATATTTATTTATTTGAGTCCTGAAGTTTGAATGCTGGACCCGGATGCTGTCCTTAAGCTCTTCAACACAAGGCGAGTGCTCTACCACTTGAGCCAAGCGCCCCTTTGAGCTATGATCTTTAGATCTCAGTCTCTTGAGTAGCTAGGATTACAGGTGTGAGCCGCCTGTGCCCGGCTCACATTCTGACTTTCAAATTCATACCAAAGTATGATGAAGATATCACGGTGAAAGAGACAAGAGAGTTCCAGTAGCTTCAACTCTGATGCTCTGTTAGCTCTAGAAGTCAGTTTTAGAGAGTGGGTACAAGTAGAGTCAGTGTTCTCTCTGCTCCCCACTTCTGCCTTAATAAGCTTTATCTTTCCAAATACTGTTTCACAGGTCTAGTGTGGGCCTCTCCTAACATGTTGCCCTGTGTTCAGGTCCCTTAGTTTTGACCCTTAGTTTCCTCCTCTGCACCTGTTTTGCTCATTTGTAAAACATGTTCTGTAGTAGCTTGTCCATGAGTTACTTCTCACTGAGGCAGAAAAGGTATGGGGAATTGCTTCCATACTGCAGCTTAGCAGCCATTTGTTCTGACCTGATCTTTTGTGGGTCCCTATATCACTAAGGTCACCATCTCCCATGTCTTCTTGTCTTTTGTGGAATTCAGGGGGCTCACTCTGAGCATCCCTTTATTAGACTTTACGTGGGTGGTGGTGATGGAAGGATCTCAGCAAGTGACATGAGTTTATATCATGACTTGAGTCACTTGTGAAAAATCTACTTCAAGCTATGCTGGTGAGTGCTAGGTCCAGTTATAGAGATATGTGATCAAGGCTTCTGCTCTGGAAGAGTTCATAGTTCAGGAGAGGATGCAGACAGGTGGCTAGAACATTCCATGCAGGGAACTAGGAGTTCTAACAAAGACCCAGGGAACAACATAGGGACCTGGAGAAGGGCTTAAGTCTTTGGCTGAGTGGTGAGGAGACAAGGTTGCCCATGGTAGAGGAAGCCTAAGTAAAGGAGAAGGCCTGGAAGTTACCATCAGATCAAATGTTTCTTAAGCCCCACAGGGAAACAATCCAGTCCTTGCTTCTTACCTGAAAGAAAGGACTTTCCTGGGCTGGTTTTTGCTGCTGTACTTGTGGAACAAGGGGTTGGTATTCCTCACACAGTCTGTTTTCTACCTCCCCCCACCTCTTCCAGCCTTTAATGTTAGACTTTGTAAAAGCTTGAGAATCTGAAAGGCAGTAGGGACAGCTCATCAACCTGTCAACATGGAATGACTTATCAGGGACCAAGCTGGCCCCATCCAAAGGCCTCCATGAATTTCCCTCTGTAGTAGGTGCCAGATGGCGAAACAGGTTCTGGGCCTTGCTTGTTGAGGGTTTCTAAGTGCGTGGCTAGGCTGAGTTGGTAGACTGACAGTGACTAGTGAATGATATCATGTCCTATGGTGCTTCTGGACAGTGTTTGCCCCTTAGAGGAGAAGAAGGGACCCAGGGAAAAGTCTTGAGTTCTAGGGCTGTCCTGTCCTGGCTCATTCAATGGGTCTGTGGATGTTACTTCTCCTTTCTAAGAAAATAGGAGTTAGATCACTGATCATTTGCCAAATATTTATAAGAGCAGCTAAGTGCCAGCTGTTGCCCAGTGCCAGAATTACAAAGCCAGTCAGCTGTAGTGACTCTGGCAATCTCTGGCACTATGCTGCCAGCTTGACCTCTCTTAAAGAGTGTTTCCTACACTGCAGACAGAGCTACCATACCTGTCTCATGGTATCAAGTGTCACAGGCCACATGATGGCAAATAGCATATGACAACCTGTTAGACCTGGAGGTAGCCAGGCAGGGCATTAGACCTGGCCCTAGCCAACCAGACTTCAGGGGATGGCTCTCACAAGTGACAGCTGAGACCACTTTCCAGACTCTTGAGTGAGAAAAGGTGAATAGCTTCTTTCATTACACTGTCTTCAAACTTTGAGACAATACAAATATTGGCCACAGTGAGCCCAATGTCCTGCAACAGTTGCCAGCCTGCAGGGGTGGGGAGGCCTATGCGATAAACTAATGTTGGGACTACCATCATTTGTATTTATTTTTGATGGTTGTGGGGCTTGAACTCAGGGTCTGGGGACCTGTTCCTGAGCTCTTTTGCTCAAGGCTAGCACTCTACCATTCTGAGCCACAGCTCCACTTCTGATTTACTAGTGGTTAATTGGAGATAAGAGTTTCATGGGGCTGTGCACCCATGGCTCATGCCTGTAATCCTAGCTAGTCAGGAGGCTGAGAGTCATGGTTCAAAGCCAGCCCAGACTATTATCTCCAATTAACCACCAGAAAACTGGAAGTGGCGCTCTGGTTCAAGTGGTAGAGCACTAGCCTTGAGCTGAAGAGCTCAGGGACAGTACCCAGACCCAGAGTTCAAGCCTCACAACTACCAACAACAAAAAAAGTCTCAGAGGGCTGGGAAGGTGGCTCAGTGGTAGAGCGCTTGCCTTGCATGCCTGAGGCCCTGGGTTCGATTCCTCAGTACCACATAAGCAAAAAGAAAAAAGCTGCAAGTGGCGCTGTGGCTCAAGTGGTAGAGTGCTAGCCTTGAGCTGAAAAGCTGAGGGAAAAGCGCCCAGGCTCAGAGTTCAGGCCCCACGACCGGACCCAAAAAAAAAAAATCTCAGACTTTCGTGATCTTCAGATCTCAGCCTCCTGGGGGCTGGGAAGGTGGCTCAGTGGTGGAGCACTTGCCTTGCATGCCTGAGGCCCTGGGTTTTTGCTTATGTGGGGTTTTGTACATAAGCAAAAAGAAAAAAGCCGGAAGTGGCGCTGTGGCTCAAGTGGTAGAGTGCTAGCCTTGAGCTGAAGAGCTGAGGGACAGTGCCCAGGCCCAGAGTTCAGGCCCCACAACCGGACACCCCCACCCCCCCCCAAAAAAAAAAAAGATCTCAGCCTCCTGAATAGCTAGGATTATAGGCATGAGCCACAACACCTGGCCTCTCATCATTTTAACAACATCAGGGAGAAGTGTCTGGTGTAGTAAGATGATTAAAAAACAACAAAGATGTGCGCTGGTGGCTCACGCCTGTAATCCTAGCTACTCAGGAGGCTGAGATCTGAGGATCACAGTTCAAAGATAGCCCGGGCAGAAAAGTCTGTGAGACTCTTATCTCCAATAAACCACTAGAAAACCGGAAGTGGAGCTGTGGCTCAAGTGATCCTTGAGCTGAAGAGCACAGGAATAGCGCCCAAACCCAGAATTTCAAGCCCCACGACCAGCCAAAAAATAAACAAAAAAAACCAAAAAACCAGGAAGGTAAAATATTGTGAGATGAGCTTGGTCCCAGTGACAGTCTTCACACAAAATTCAAGTCTAGCTCAAGTCAGAGGTAGGTCATCTGTAAAATCTGTCAGCCATTTGCCAGACAGATCCATAAGGCAATCTCTGTTTCTCTGAGAAAATTATAAGAAGGATTGTTTCTTTGCAGTGCTGCAGATGGATCTAGGGTCTCTTACATTCTAAAGTGTTCTGTCTCTGAGCTACACCCCCAGCACTTACAGGGTTTCAAGTAACAATCTGAGAAGGCTGAGCAGGTAGCCTCTTTCCTCTCCCTGGAACATATGCTGCTTTCCTTCCTGGAATGTGCTAGGCAGAAAAGACACAAATGAAATCAGATTAAGTCCTGAGTCTCTACAATGGAAAAATGAAGTAAAACAGGCATCAGGTTAAGTCCTGAGTCTCTACAATGGAAAAATGAAGTAAAACAGGCATCAGGTTAAGTCCTGAGTCTCTTGAATAGAAAAATGAAGTAAAACAACCAACAGTCAACACACTGGTTGGTACTGGGCTCCCAAGCAGTAAAAATGATAATAGCACCTATTGAGGGCTAGGTACTATCCTAAAGATGACTCATTTTGTCACTGCAATGACTCCCAAGGGAATGTAACGGTAGAACTATTGTTGCCAATTTATACATAAAGCTCAGAGGGTAAAGAGTTTGACCAAGATCTCAGCACAGAACTAGAAGAGCAGAAAAGAATGAATCAATAAAGGCTGAATGAGTTGACGAGATTCAAAAAAATCTAGGAGAAAAGGCATCCAAGGGAGAACAAATAAGTGAGTTGTCTTGGAGCCCCACAAAAGCTTGGCCTGCTTCTTCATGGAGAATTCATTCAGGGAAGTAATAGATGAGACTTCAGAGGCCAGCAGTAGTCAGATTGCACAGGTCCCTTGTAGGCCATGTTAAGGTGTTTGAATGTTGTAAGGGGTCCCTTTGAAGATTCTGATCATCAGATTGGCCTTCCAGGAACAAATGCATGTGGGTGGAAGCTGGCCTGGGCACAGTGAGCTTTGTGCCCCAAGAATCTGCCTCCATCTTCTTATCCCAGCCCTTCCTCTGACCATGGCCTATTTGTTTCAGAGTGGCCTCCCCTGCCAGTGCTGGTACTCTCCATGCCCTGAGCCGCTACAGCCGCTACACGAGTATCCTGGACCTGGACAACAAAACCCTGCGCTGCCCCTTGTACAGGGGCACGCTGGTTCCCCGCCTGGCCGACCACCGCACTCAGATCAAGCGGGGCAGCACCTACTACCTGCATGTCCAGAGCATGCTCACCCAGCTCTGTTCTAAGGCCTTCCTTTATACCTTCTGCCACCACCTGCACCTGCCTGCCCATGAGAAGGAGACACAGGAAGTGGTGGCCAGCCGCCAGGCCAGCTTTCTGAAACTGAACTTGGGACTGGTGAACGAGGATGTCAGGGTAGTCCAGTACTTGGCTGAGCTGTTGAAACTGCACTACATGCAGGAGTCTCCTGGTACTGGCCACCCCCTCCTCAGGTTTGACTATGTCCCCAGCTTTTTGTATAAAATCTGAGGTCAGTCCCAGCCACTGTGACTAAGACCTGTGACTCAGGGTATGGGGAGAGGAGAGATGGCATGACTATAAATGGTTGCCTGAACTATACTATTGAACCTCCTGGTTTCACCAGCAGAAATAAGTGGCAGCCATGGTTCCTGAGCAGAGGTAGAGCCTCGTTCTATGGAGGTGGTCTGCAAAGACAGTAACGGAAGCCCTTGACTCTCTGGTGAAGAGTGGCCCCTGGATAGAGGTGTCTTTGGCATTCTGAGGACTGGGCAGGAAGAGAAACCTCCCTCAACTTTCAGGGCTGGAAAAAGTTAGAGTTAGAATGGCTAGGAGGAGACCTTGGCCACATTCAGCATCACTAGATTCAAGTACCAGGGAAACAGTCAGTTAGCTGGGGTGGAAACAGTCAGTTAGCTGGGATGTGATAGAATACAGGACAGACCAGCCACTGCCTCATTTTGACCCCACTGTAGACCTTTACTTGGCTTCCTGGAGCCCACTGTCTCAGGGGGAGATCCTGAACAAGAAGATGAAGGGAGAGAGCTCTGGGTGGCTGGAGAATGGGAGATATACATTTTGGGCTCCAGGTCTGCAGAGCACACGCGTGGCCTTTTGTCCTGCCCTCACATCCATCTGGGAAGAAAGTGTATATGAGTAGCTCTTGGAGGCTCCTCCTGGTTGTCATTAGGCCTGATATGAAGCAGGGCCCAGAAGACCACAGCCAGTGTGAGGACCTCTGAGAGCTGCAGACAGAACAGACCACAAGGCCATCACCACTGTGTAAGACTCAATGCACCAGCAGCTCTCCTGGGACCACCCATTGGCTCTTCCTACCCAGACTGTGTGAGTACTGACATCCCTGGGAAGCAGAGGTTGTACTCTATAGTTGCCACCCAATGGCAAACTGCAACCACTTTACTACCTCTCATGAGGTCTGTGGGCTCCGCAAAGGCCCAGGTCTGTTCAGCTAGCTGAGGTGGGTGGTCACTCTGGCTGGACCAGCTCCTGTGTGGCTCTCCTTGTGGACCTCCTCTGGAATGTTTCGCACACCTGTCTCCACAGCTCACAATGTCCCACTCCCGGCAGTCAGGACTGCTCCTTATACAGCTTCCTAACCCTGCTGCCACTCATGCGATAGAAGGCTTCTCACAACCTTGAAAACGTCAGACCTTCTATAAAGCTGTTCTTTTTTCCCTAAGTAAGGGAAACTGAGGATTACTGCTGCTCTTTTGATTTGTTCCATCAAATTGTGGTACGCTGGACCCAAGTCAGCCCTGTACACACACTGCATTTGTTGGGCACTGTGATCCCGCACTTTTAATACTGGTGCCAAGGTCTACTCACCCCGTCATCTGTGTATGTCCCCGAGTTCTGTCATAGGGAGCCATTTTTGCTTCTTTACCTGCCTGGGTCTTTGGCACAGGGATGTGGCCTGTTGGTTCTCATCATTGATTTCAGGTCTCATCCCTGTTCCGTGGGCAGGTGTGTTGAGGCTGTGATGGAGAGCTGGTGGGAGATGTCACTGTCCCTGTATCAGTTTTCTGTCCCTACAGTTGTTACACGTGTTGATACCTTTGGCAGTTTCTGGTATCTGCTATCTTCTCATGGGCTCCCTTGTCTGCTGCTACGAAACTCCTAGTGTTTTTAGATGTCGCTTTGCTTTCTAGTTGGGTGACTAAGTGCCATCTCCTCAGACCTTTGAACATGAGACATTTATCGTGAAGGGAAGGAAAGTCTGGAGTCCAAGTCAGTTTCTTGTGTCACACCAGCATGGAAACTCAACACTGTGCTCACCTGATAAAAGGCAGACATGGGCTTTGGGTAGATGCCAAACTGCAGCCACACTTGGCCTTCTAGAAGCTAAAGCCATGTACTAGTGTTAAGTGGAAGGCCACCTGCTGGTATTTGCTCCATGCTCCACCTCCAAAGGTGGCTCTGAGGACAAAGCAAGAGACTAGGGCTGGGAAGGTGGCTCCATGGTAGAGTGCTTGCCTTGTATGCCTGAGGCCTTGGGTTCAATTCCTCAGCACCACATAAGCAAAAAGAAGCCAGAAGTGGCCCTGTAGCTCAAGTGGTAGAGCGCTAGCCTTGAGCTGAAGAGCTGAGGGACAATGCCCAGGCCCAGAGTTCAGGCCCCACGACCGGACTCCCCTCCCCCGCCCTAACAACAATAACAAAAAACGCAAGAGACTAGGAGAATCGACACAAGAGTGGGCAATCCCCTGTGGCAGCCACAAAAATAGCAAAAGGGGTGCTATCCCTTGAAGTGGTTCATTAAATAAAGATGGTTTCACCAACTTGGGGTTGAACTCCCAAGACTTAAGATTCCACATGGCAATTTCAAAGAATTACTTGGTGTAAAACATGCTTCCTTTTGGAGGCATCTGGACTGAGTCATAGCTTGAGAAGTAGTTAATACTGGATGCTCTGCCTTCCTTAGCCCTTCTGCTTTGCAAGACTGGAACTTTTTAGAAGACACATTCATATACCCTGATGGTGCAGAGACCTATGCAATGGGACTCACCTCTTCAAGAGTTTCCATTTGAAGTAGTCCTCTAGTGACAGACTAATAATTTAACACTTCTCACAATGGAGATGACATCAGTGTATCATTACTTCTTTAGTCCTATTCCTTTGAGGGTCCTGATAGTCTGAGGCATTTCAATTTAACCTCCAGTTTCTCATTTCCCTCTCCTAGATTAAGAACACTAGGTCGAGCTGGCAGTGTGCACTAATGACATTCAGAAGCTCCACTGATGAGGTTAGCATGCAGTCCTGTGGCCTCCGATAGCACCTGGGGTGGGCAAGGCACTCTGGTCTGAGCTGCTGTCTCCTACTTTGTTTCCCCAAGAACCTTGCTCTTTGGAATTAGGAATCTTTCATAATTTACAGCAGTTTCAGGTATATTGCCTCGGAATTTGGAAACAGACTGATAAATATCATTCCCCTCTCCTAATTTTAATTTTTTTGTTTCAGGTCAGTTGCTGTACTTAAAGTACAGCAGATAACTACATTTAAAATCTATAGTAAATCAGATTTCAACCTTTATCCTGGAAACAAGTCCCATTTCAAATCCTAGGATATGAATGCTGTCCCAAGGGCCAGGATTGCAGTTGAGCCAGGTGGTTTAGAGGTAGAGAACATCTGATCCCTAGATAGATAGCCTGTATATACATTGACTGTCTGCCTACCAGTGCTTGGTGTGTGCTCTGCACCTGCCCCAACTGGACGCTAGTTTCTGGGCCTTCTTCCACATGGCTGGCAGCACCACTTAAGCTGCTGGGGTATGTATCAGCAGGCACAAGGCCTTTGGAAGAACTGAGCTCCACAGCAGCCAGCCTGGTGAGCCAGCCTTTCCCAGGCTCTACTTTCTGCCTCCCTAGAACGCTCACAAGAAAGTGCCTTGCCTTGTGTTTGAAGCAAACTAGCCAGTTCTCTGGCTTTGCCCCAATACTGTGATTTAAAGTAATAGAATTGAATCTGAGAGACAACAGGCTGCATAAAGGAAAAAAAAAATCAAATACCTACTTCTGGCTGGAAGGTGACCAAGATGGGCATACTAAGTTTTCCTGAGCCCCTCCCCTGAAGGTTTAGTTAGGTTGGGGAAGGCAGGAGTGAGCAGGTATAGTAGGGATGAGAAATGACCACCCTGAGCATGTTAACCTAATTTGGGGTTCAGCTTTTTAGAAGGATCTGCTCAGCTCCAAAGAAGTCACACATAGGGGTATTGAGTTGTGCTGCTGTCTAACTGGGCAGGAGCCAGGTTCCTGGGTTTAGGACTGCTTCTGTAGCACTGTAGCATCCACACTGGATAAAGATGTAGGACTGGTGTGTCTCTACACAGTAGAAGTACCATTAGGTGAGCCCAGGGCCAGGCTACCCAACACTGGAGAGGTGGGCTGCAGGTTGGACTAAGATAAACACTACCTTTAAGGTGTGCAGTAAGAAGTGTAGGCTACGCGGAACTGGTATTGGTTATTTTCTAAAAAGCTATTTTATTACTGCATGTTTCCACTGTCTTCGTGAATATGTGGCCCAACCCTGGGCACTGCAGTTAGTGCTGGAGCTGGAGTCTGACTTGTGACCATGCCTCACAGATGCTACTGCACAAGCATTTAACCAGAGTAAATGCCAAACAAATCATATGAGGAGTGTACTTTTTAAGAAATTAATTTATTTCAGTTCAGATATTTTTGAAATATAAAAATTAGTTGTATTTTTTAAAGCTGTAATTCTTGTAGACATTCTGTGGTTAAATATTTGATTGTGCTAATTAAAAACAGTCACCTATGGTTTGCACTTCAGCTATGTGAAAAATAAAAGATTCTTTGGAAGGTGACATTTTGGACTGCTGCCAAATATTTTTTAGGGGGTGGGGAGTTGAAGAGGAAAGCCCCTGTTTCCATCTAACTCCTATATCAGGAAGGAACTAGACATATCCTTAGGGGAAGATTGGAGAAAATTACTGCATTTTGTGTGAACCCAGGGCCTCACATATGCGAGGCATGTTTTCTACTCGGTGTAACACCTCCAGCCATTCTCCTTTGGGTTGCTGATGGGAAGCCTTCCTACTGTACTGGCTACTGCCTACACATTTATGCAAATATAGATTTCAAGTGCATAGAACAAGATTCAGAATTTTCATGTGCAATTGTAATGGTCATAATTCAGTCCTCTGGCATCCCATCAGACAACAAATTAGGAGAATGGGTAGCATGTCAAGGGACAGCCAGTTAATTTAGACCAAGGAAAGGGAAATGCCAGAATCATTCTAGTATCTTCACCCTGTGTTGCTATCTATAAGACTAAGGCCAAATGGCTACCCAGTATTTTTTCCAGAATAATTAAAATTATATACAGCTGTTGGAAATGTGAGGTTCACATTTAAATCCCTTAATAACCCATCCCAGAATTGCTATGAGGCTTATATAAGTTTTGATGTGTAAAAACGTAAGAGCAGTCTGAAAGAAATGCCCTCAAAGGGCACAAAGAGGCTTAGTAGGTCCCCTGTGGGGCAGCCATGGTATCACAGAGTCCCTGGCGGGCTCCTTCAGACTTCTGACATTCCAGGCAGTGGGAAGGCAGAAGCGAATCTCTCTACTTCCATTCGGAGATCCTGCAGTGCGCTTTGGAACTTCTCATCCTCTTCCAGTTTCTCCTTGAACTCCTTCAATGTGGCCTTTATGTTCATGTCCTTCTGAATCTCCAGAGTCAGCTCTATCCCTGTGCACAAGACACAGCAAGTCTCTTGTGGGGCTGCCTCTCAATGGACACTGCCACAATGTTCCCCTCAGTAGGAGTGACTTTATGGATGTCAATGTACCCCTCAGAAGTGACTCGGTGTGGAGTGTCCCTAGGCAGCACACATGCATAAACTTCCCAGGCAAAATGTCTTGCTAGAAGCTGGGCACTGGTAGCTCACACCTGTAATCCTAGCTACTCAGGCTGAGATCTGAGGATCATAGTTCAAAGCCAGCCCAGGCAGGAAAGCCTATGAGACTCTCATCTCCAATAAACCACTCAGAAAATGAGAAGTGGTACTGTGGCTCAAGTGGTAGAGTGCTAGCCTTGAGCTGAAGAGCTGAGGGACAGCTCCCAGGCCCAGAGTTCAAGTCCCATGACTGACCAAAAAAAAAAGGCTTGCTAGAAAAGTCTTGCAGAAAGCCCCCCTCAGTGGCAGGGATCATAGCCACTCAGGCACACTAGATAATCTTAGGCATGACAGTAACCTGCCAGACTTCCAAATACAGATCCTTACCTCTGTGGATAAAGTGTGCTACCTTTTGGAAGTCTTTTTCCAAAAGTCCTCGAGAAGTCAGTGCTGGGGTCCCCAGTCGCAGTCCACTGGGCCGCAGGGCGCTTTTGTCACCTTTAAGACAAACAGGGCTGATAAGCTGTACCCAATATACCACTGTGGCTACTTTGCATTTAAAAAGGGACACTTGGGTAAAACACTTGACATGAGGATCCTGGCAAGCATACAGCTGACTTAAAAACTAGAGGTGCATTAGTGTGAGCAACTGTGCTGACAGTAGGCAAAGTAGTCTGTAGTGTGGCTCTTGCTCCTACAGAGGAGAACAACATCTGCCCAGGTCTAAGCTGGATTGCCAACATGATAACAACACCAAGAGATGCTGTCTGCTTTCAAGAGACCTTGACTATCGTTCACAGCTGTGCTCCTTAAGCCTTTCCTTTTCTGCTCCCTGCAGGCTGTGGGCCAGGTCTGCAGGAATGGACAGGGAGAGAGCCCAAGATCAGTGCCCTCACTAGATGTTCCCACCAGCCAAATAGCTTCATCAGCTACAAGTCTGGCCATACAAGAACAAGGCAGGAGGGAAAACCATGAAGGAGTCTTACCTGGGCAAGTATTCTTGTTGCAGGCAATAGAACAGGCTTCTAGCACCTTCTCAGCCCTTCCACCATCTGTACCCTTGGAACGGAGATCCACAAGGATCAAATGGTTGTCAGAACCACCTGAAGATGGAGTTGACAAGGTAGAATGCAGAAGGCTAACTACACCAGGTAAAGGAACCTTCTTCCAGAGGAATGTGAGCAGGGGATGGAGAAGGCAAGGCCAAAGTCAGGAAAATGAGGGGCTGGGAAGGTGGCTCAGTGGTAGAGTGCATGCCTTGCATGCCAGAGGCTCTGGGTTCGATTCCTCAGCACCACATAAGCAAAAAGAAAAAAGCCGGAAGTGGCGTTGTGGCGCTGTGGTAGAGCGCTAGCCTTGAGCTGAAGAGCTGAGGGACAGCGCCCAGGCCCAGAGTTCAGGCCCTATGACCGGACCCAAAAAACCAAAAAAAAAAAACAAAGAAAGTCAGGAAAATGAGCACCCACTGTGTGGGCCAGAACATTAACCACCTGTGAAAACAAAGCTCCTGGCCTAGGAACTAGAGAGGAAGAGCCATTGTAAAAAGAGGCAAATGACCAAACAGAAGAACTTGAGGTTGCTAGGTAAAACATCTAGCAGCTGCTGTATTCCAGACTGCCCATGGCACAACATACCAGGGCTGCCAGGCCAAAGTATGTCTGGGTTAGTTTCCTCTCAACTTCTCTACAAGTGCTTCAGGAACTTCTTGAGTCTCTGGCATTGACACCATTGACGACATCATCATCATCATCATCATCATCATCATCATCATCGTGCTGGTCTTAGGGCTTGAACTCAGGCACTGTCCCTGAACTTCTGTGCTCAAGGCTGCCGCTCTACCACTTGAGCCCCAGCTCCACTTCAGCTTTTTTGGTGGTTAATTGAAGATAAGAATATCAAGGACTCTCCTTCCTGGCCTAGCTTCAAACAACTACCCTCAGATGTCAGACTTTGAATAGCTAGGATTATAGGTATGAGCAATCATTGCAACACACCCATGGCTTTGTGAATGCTAGGCAAGTGGTCTACAACTGAGCCATACCTTAGCTCCTCTAATGCTAATATAATAGGCTCCCTTCAAAGCAGCACCAGGGCAGGGGTTTCATTTACTGCACTGATGAAGGGCCACATTTATAGGATATATTTTTGTTCCAGCCAGTGCTAGCCTGCCACTCACTTGATGCCAAACTCTGTAATGGTGACAGTGCAGACTGAGCATCCCTTATCCAAAATGCTAGGGTCAAAATCCTAGACCTTAGTATTTTTCATATTTTGGAGTATTTGTTAAGCTTTACTAGTTGAGCATCCTTGACTTAAATCCAGATCTTTTAAGGCATCATTGTCAGTGCTAGAAAGCTTCAGGTTTGGGATTAGGGATATGTAACCTGTATAATCAAAGTGGTACAGATGTTATGATTTGGATCTTGGTGACATTGAGAGATGGTGGAACTGTAAGAGGTAGGGTTTGACAGGAGGTGTTTTAGGTTTGTGGTGGCATGATTCCAGCCTTCCTGGTTGAGTGGTTGTGAACTACCACAAACTCCCATCCCTATCCTCATCTATCAGCTTTCCATCATTACAACAAATACCTTAGTTGATTAGCTTATACAAAGAAAAGGTTTAGGTCTCACAGTTTTACAGGTTCTAGTCCATGATCAATTAGCCCTATTGCTTTTGGGTCTGCCTTAGGCTTAGCCAGTTCCAGTATGATTTCTTTTAAAGGCTCTAGCAAGCCAGTACCTGGGAAAATTCAGCCAATCTGGACCTTCTTTCCAGCAGTAAGTGCCTGTTGAGCCCTGATCTCAGGGGAAGGACACATCTGCAGGACAGTGTAAGGCTTCTCCATAGAGGGTGCTGGCAGAATTGAAATAATAGCTGAAGTGGTAAGAGTGCCAGCTGTGAGTGAAAAAGCCAAGTGAGAGCTCAAAGACCGCATGTGCGGTCGCGTGTACACACATACACACAAGCAAGGACTGGCCCTGCCACCTATCAAATGTTTGACAGCTGCAGGTGACCTCTGCCTGACCTCTGTTGGGTGAACTTCAGGTGCCCTGGGATAAAGCTGTTCTGATTGCCAGTGGCAGCTGGTATGGCAAGAGAAAGGAAGAGACCACAAAGCAGGTCCTCTGAGGCTTGCTGACTTTGTCCTGAGGAGGTCCAAGTCATCAGAGTAGTGGTGACAGTGCCCAGAGCCCCTAGCCACATCCACAGACCACATCCTGACCAGAGGAACTGAGGGGTAAATTCCAGCGTACCACCCACAAAGCAAGTAGGGCTGCCTACCACCATGTGTTTGTACCTGTGACTATTTTGTAGCCCAGCTCTGTGAGGGTCTCAGACAGAGCCCTGCAGTTGGCTACGACCTGCAGCTGATAGACTTTGAATTCCACACTCATGGCTTGCTTCAGGGCCACAGCAACCCCTAAACAGAGAGACAACAAGTCAGCAAGGCAGGACAGGATGGGCTGAGAGAAGGGAAAACAAAAGTAGCCCTGTATCATCCAAAGCTGATGCATTGTCATCCAACAGGCTGAAGATTCCATTTTCCCCACCAATGACAGTCTTGTCCTTTCTTCTCTGTGCTGGGGATGGAACCCCAGGTCTTGTGTATGATAAACACACCCTCTTCCCTCTAAGCCATGTTCTCAGCCCTGCTGCCTTAACCCTGATTTCCTGGTTAAATCTGTAGACCTTACTGAGCAAGGCTCTGAGGAGACTGCTTTGGGAAGCTGTTCTCCAGGCATAGAAGCTCAGTACCAAAACAGTTACCAAAGGAAAAACAAGACACACACTTTTGCTAGTGCACTACCACTTTGAGCCACCAGTGCCACTTCTGGTTTTCTGGTGGTTAATTGGAGATAAGAGTCTCATGGACGGGGCTGGGAAGGTGGCTCAGTGGTAGAGCGCTTGCCTTGCATGCCTGAGGCCCTGGGTTCGATTCCTCAGCACCACATAAGCAAAAAGAAAAAAGCCGGAAGTGGCTCAAGTGGTAGAGCGCTAGCCTTGAGCTGAAGAGCTGAGGGACAGCGCCCAGGCCCAGAGTTCAGGCCCCATGACCGGACCCAAAAAAAAAAAAAAAGAGTCTCATGGACTTTCCTGCCTGGGCTGGCTTTGAACTATGATCCTCAAATCTCACTATCCTAGTAGCTAGGATTACAGGTGAGAGCCACCAGCATCCAGCTTCTCACCCTTTGTTAAGCTATCTGCTATGTAAGATTTCTCCTCAAAGAGGGCAAGCTCTATATTCTTCACAAAACCCAGACTGACACCTGGGGTTTGCTTGATGGTGGCCACCTGAGTGGAGCAGACATTTCCCTCCTGCCCCACATTATGCCATTTTCAACCACCTGTCTTTTCTTCCACGTAGTATCTCCTGGACAGAGTGTCCCCTATCCCAGTGCGGAGGACCTGGCACATACATGCTTTGGAGGATAGATTAAGGTGGAAATTAGGAACCACAGGATGACTTCTGCATTGTACAAGTTATGAACATGCATAGTTGAGTAACTTGAATAGCATCTGATGGCTTTTGGGTTGGTTTGGTGACATTACCAGCAATAGCATGGTTATGGGGACCCCCTTGCAGGCCTGGGAATACTGCAGAGTTAATGAGTGATTCCAGTTCATACATAATCTCTTTGCCAGTCTTGGGATCAACACTGCGCACACCTGGGGAAGAAAGACATTATAAGAACATGACCCCACAGGCTGACTCATTTCCTCCCTCTTTGGTATCAAACCCAAACTGGCTGTGAGCATTAGGCACAAACTCAGCTCTTACTAATCCTGGTAGTGAGAACTGGTATGTAATACCAGAGCAGAGTAGCTCTTGCTTCCTGATGACAATGCCCTCACTCTTTGGGAATAAGGACATATGGATGGATGGTTCTGGCTGGAGTGCTGATTTCAGCACACACCTGCCCCAATGATAGTGTCTTTTCTTCACAGCACATCACTGTAATGAAGCCTTAAAAGTTGAAATGGGGCTGGGAATGTGGCTTAGTGGTAAAGTGCTTGCCTAGCATGCATGAAGCCCTAGGTTCAAATCCTCAGTACCACATAAGCAGAAAACACTGGAAGTGGTGCTGTGGCTCAAGTGATAGAGTGCTAGCCTTGAGCAAAAGCAGCTCAGGGACAGAGCCTAAGCCCTGAGTTCAAGACCAGTACTGGCAAAAAAAAAAAAAAAAAGTTAAAAAAAAAAAAGTTGAAAGAACAGGAATGCTCCCCTGCTGAGATGATAGCAGGGCATATGCCTCAATCAAGTGTCCAGGATGACAACTTGCCAGATAATGCTCAGCGGGTTCCATTCTGAGATGTTTGAATAGTAATGCTAACTCCTATTTGGTAGGAGCGATACCAATATTTATGTAGGGCCTCTTGTGGGCCAATAGCTGCCCTAAGCACTTTAAAAAAATTCATTGAACTTCTCTAACAGTAGCCCAGAGAGACAGGTGCTATTATAGACTCCACTCTGGAGGTGAGGCAGGAGACCCAGAGAAACTGCACAGGTAGCCCAGGATCTGTTCTAGCTAGCTCATTAGCACACAGCAGGGAAAAAAGCCAAGTGTCTCCTGGCAGATGGGAAGGCTTCCTGGCATAGGTCCTCAGAAGAGTACACAAACCATAGGGCACTGGGAAGCCCTGGTACCTGGATAGGTGTGTCCTGAAAGGGCAAGGTGGGACAGTGCCGATAGGGTTGATTTCTTTCTCTGATCATTTAAGGCTAGAATGTCAGATGTCACCACAAACTAAATGATGAGATGACTGCTAATAAGGGTGTCCACAAGTCTAGGAATCCCAGATAAGGGGAAGGAATCCCTAGAGAAAGTAGGCTGTAAAATACCAGAAAGAAAAATTTCTCATACTGACTAAATTTACAGTAAGATTTATGCATCAGTGTTTTATTGTTTGACTACTGTCTTTCTCTTTGAGAAACATGCTAGATTACAGCAAGTATACCAAAAGACTGCTACACTCTAGAGGACTAGTTGAGTGTACTTTCTAATCCTTATTCTGTTTTGGAGACAAAATCTTGCAGACTTTTCTCATCCTCCTGAGTAGCTAGGCTTATGAGCCACTGGTGCCTGGCTTTTTTTTTTTTGGTAGTACTAAGGTTTGAACCTAGGACTCTGGGCATTTTAGGCAGGTGCTCTACTATTGAGTCATACTTCCAGTCCCTCTTCCTGTTTTCCTAGCACCTGGACACACAGTATGGAGCTATGATCCAGAGCTTCCTTCTAGATCCTCTGTAAACCCTCTGTAAACTCTTTTTTAAGACACTCTTTTCAAGCACTGGATCCTTTTTTTTTTTGTCGGTCATGGGGCCTGAACTCTGGGCCTGGGCGCTGTCCCTCAGCTCTTCCACTCAAGGCTAGCGCCACTTCCAGCTTTTTCTGCTTATCTGGTGCTGAGGAATCAACTGCACTCTGAACTCCTCAGGGGCACTGTCAGCCCTGAAACCATCTGTCCCAATCCCAAATTCACCTTTCCTGTAGAAAATCATGCCGGCACGGCAGCCTCTCAGGGTCTTGTGTGTTGTGGTGGTCACCACATGGCAGTGTTCAAAAGGCGAGGGCACCACACCAGCTGCCACTAGACCACTGATATGTGCCATGTCTGCCATGAGATAGGCCCCACACTCGTCAGCGATCTTCCGCAAACGTTCATAGTCCAAATTACGGGAGTAACAGCTTGTTCCTGAGATGAGAGAGGTTATATGGCAGAGTCAGAGCTATGCCTGTTTTTCAGTTTTTTTTTGTTTTGTCTGTTGTGGGGCCTGAAGTCTGCATCTAGGCACTTTCCCTCATCTCCTCAGTTCAAGGCGAGTGCTCTACCACTTGAGCCACAGAACACTTCCAGGTTTCTGGTGGTTAACTGGAGAGTCTTACAGACTTTCCTGGCTGGGCTGGCTTTGAACCATGATCCTCAGATCTCAGCCTCCTGAGTATCTAGGATTACAGGCATGAGCTACTGCCTACCCCCCCACTATGCCTGTGTTTTGAAAGGAGAAAATAATTTGGCCCAGGCTCAGCAATCCAAGGAGGAAACCAGCAATGAACTAGGTGTGTAGGTCTCTCTTGTTTGTGCGTATATATGCCAATACTGGGGCTTGAACTTGGTGCCTCCAGCTTTGCCTTGGCTTTTGTGCTCATAGTTGGTTCTCTACCACTTGAGCCACAGCTTCACTTCCACCTTTCTGGAGATTTTTTTTTTTTTTGGGTCCGGTCATGGGGCCTGAACTCTGGGCCTGGGCGCTCTCCCTCAGCTCTTCAGCTCAAAGCTAGTGCTCTACCACTTGAGCCACAGCACCACTTCCGGCTTTTTTCTTTTTTGCTTATGTGGTGCTGAGGAATCGAACCCAGGGCCTCATGCATGCAAGGCAAGCGCTCTACCACTGAGCCACCTTCCCAGTCCTGGAGGGTAATTGTTAAGAGTCTCACAGACTTTTCTGCCCCAAATGGCTTTCAATGGAGATCCTCAGATCTCAGCCTCCTAAGTAGTTAGGATTACAGATGTGAGCCACTGGCACCCAATGGGGCAAGACCATCTTTACATCCTGTGTAGGAGGCTGTGGTGCTATCCTGCTCCTTACCTGCAATGATCAACTTTGGGTGGAAGAGGCGGGCATTCTCCTCCAGCTGGTCATAGTTGATGTAGCCAGAGTCTGGGTACACCTATGGAGTCAGGGAGAGACAGACACAGGGTCAGCTGCTTCCTGTGGCCACTTCATGCCTCCTGCCCTCCCACTTGAACCAGCTCTACCTGCCACAACAACAGGAAGGATGACCTAAGCCCAGGACCTGAGGATGAGGAAAGACTGGTATATTTGGCCTACATAAAGGTATAGACGGCCAAGCATCACTCATAGACCCTAGGGGGAAAAGGGAGCCCTGCTCCTGGGCACTACTCTTGATGAGGAAGAACAAAAAGCCCAGGTAGAATGAATAAGATTCAACAGCCAACCCCATGTGGTTACAAACATACTCAAAAGAGTTACCTTCAGGAACAAGACCAAAATGCCTGCTAACACCACTCCTATTCCAAGTTCCATGAAGCAAGAAAAATAAAAAGCATGAAGGCTGGGAAAAGAAAGGAAAAAAATGGACACTACCCATAGACAGCACTATTGTGCACCTAGAAAATCCAAAAGACTCCATAGAGACAGACGGTGAGAGTGAAGTCAATGAGTATAGCACCCAAAACCAAAACTCAGGCTCAGGTTGTAGCTCAGTGGTAGAGTGCATGCTAAACATGCACAGGCCCTGGATTCCATCCCCAGATACTTCCATTCACCTCTCCATACCCAATGTCAACTATATATCTATATATAATAAATAAAAATAGAGAACAAAAATGTAGTAACATCAAATATGTCAGAACCCACAGATATCTAATACAAGATATATAAGACCTCTACATAGACTATTGTTGAGAAATTTGAAAGTGTTATAGTAACTGGAGCAGTACATGTTGGTGGAAGCACAGATAACCAGACACAGCAGCAGAGTTGAAAGATCCATGTGTGAGCTAGGTCACTTGCTAGTGCCAGGGGTGAGGTAACATGGCAGTGCCATGAGGAAGAGAATGACCTTTTTAAGCCATTTAAATAAATGGCTCTAGGGCAACTGGATACCCATGGTAATATGTTGTCTGGGGGCTCCCTCATCTCAACAGAATCCCACTCTGGGCACACAGCCTAAGGACTTAGAATTCAAAGAGACACCGGCACCAATGTTCACTGCAGCATTGTAAACAACGACCAAGACACAAAGCAACCTAGTGCCCACTATCAGTTAAAAGAGAGAAAACTCTCATTTGTATACACAGTGGAAGACCGAGCTACCTTTCAAAGAGTGATTCTGCCATTTGTTAAAACGATAAATGAAACCATAGGACATTATTCTATGTAAAATAAGCCAGTATAAGACAATAAAAACCACACATTCTCACTTATATGCAGAACTGAGAAGAACTGAGCTCACAGAAGTAACACAAATGATGGCTTCTAAAGGTTAGTAGGGGAAGAGGGAAAAATGAGGAAGACTGGTCAAAAAGTATAAAAAGTTGGGCTGGAAATGTGGCTTAGTATAGAGTGCTTGTCTAGCATGTATGAAACCTTGGGTTCTATTCCTTAGTACCACATAAGCAGAAAAAGCTGGAAGTAGCCCTGTAGCTCTCAAATGATAAAGTGTTAACCTTGAGCAAAAGAAGCTCAGGGAGCTGGGTGCTGGTGGCTCACGCCTATAATCCTAGCTACTCAGGAGGCTGAGATCTGAGGATCTCGGTTCAAAGCCAGCCCAGGCAGAGAAGTCCATGAGACTCTTATCTCCAATAAAGCACTAGAAAACCAGAAATGGCGCTGTGGCTCAAGAGCGCTCGCCTTGAGCTGAAGAGCGAAGGGACAGTGCCCAAGCCCAGAGTTCAAGCCCCACAACCGACCAAAAAAAAAAAAAAAAAAAAGAAGCAGCAGCTCAGGGACAGTGCCCAGGCCCTGAATTCAAGCCCCAGGACTGGTAAAAAAATAAAAAATAAAAATAAAAAGGTAGAAGAAAAAGGGCTGGGTCTGGTGGCATACACTTGTAATCTCGGCTACTCTTAAAGTGGAGGCAGGAGAATCTTGAGTTTAAGGCCAGCCTGGGCAAAGTCTGAGAGACCTTATCTCAAAAACAAAATGAAATAAGCAAAAAAAAAAAAAAAAAAAAAGGGAGGGGGGGATGGGGCATGGTTTAGCGATAGAACATAGTTCAAATCCCTAGTACTGAAGTTTGGGGGGGGTGGGGGGCCGGAGTTTCCAACACAGAGAAGTAAATGGTAAGTATTTAAGAAGATGAATATGCTAATGGATTCAATTATTCCATAGTATATAAATGCATCATGGCTACAGGGATGGGGTAATTGAGAGTCACAATGAAAAAAAGCTGTTTGTGGTTTGGTTTCAACAGTGTGGTTCTCTCTCAGACACATGAGCTTGGTCAAAGACACTCTACCATGATGAAACATCAAGAGCTCACTCCAGTAAAAACATGGACACAGTGGGGTGCTATGGCACACTTGTAATCCCACTGGCTCGGAAGGCTGTGGCAGAAGAATCACTTGAGCCAGCCATTGGAATACACTGGCAACAGAGCAAGACCTCCTCTCACAAAAAAGGTTTAAACAACAAAAAAAGGATATAATTGCTGGGCACTGGTGGCTTACATGCCTGTAATCCTAGCTAATCAGGAGGCTAAAATCTGAGAATTACAGTTCAAAGCCAGCCTGGGCAGTAAAGTCAGTAAGACTCTTATTTCCAATTAACCCCAGAAAACTGGAAGGGGTGATATGACTCAAAGTGGTAGAATGCTAGCCTTGAGTGAAAAAGTTCAGGGACAGCACCCAGGTCCTGAGTTCAAGCCCCATCACCGACCCCCCCCCCCCAAAAAAAAAAAAAAAAACATAATTCTAATTTCATTTGTTTATTTTTGCCAATCGTGGGTCTTGAACTCTGGGCCTGGGCTCCTTTTGCTTAAGGCTAGCACTCTAGCACTTGAGCCACAATGTCACTTCCGGCTTTTTCTGTGAATTGGAGAGAAGAATCTCATAGACTTTCCTGTCCAGGCTCCTGGCTTTGAACTGTGATCCTTAGATCTAAGCCTCCTGAGTATCTAGGATTATAGGCATGCACCAGCGGCCCCCCAACTCTAAAAAAAATTTTTTAATGCCATAATTACCAAAAATATCTGTTGCTGCGCTCTCCCCGTCTTCTCTCTCTCTCTACACACACACACACACACACACACACACACACACACACACACACACACACACACACACACACACACACACACACACACAATATCTTCTGAGAGTTTAAACGTTTTTATTTATTTATTTATTTTTTTGTCAGTCATGGGGCCTGACTGAACTCTGGGCCTAGGCACTATCCCTCAGCTCTTCAGCTCAAAGCTAGCACTCTACCACTTGAGCCACAGCGCCACTTCCAGCTTTTTCTGCTTATGTGGTGCTGAGGAATAGAACCCAGGGCCTCATGCATACAAGGCAAGCACTTTAACACTGAGCCACCTTCCCAGCCCTTTATTCATTTGTTGATCTTAGAACTAAGACAAAACTGCTTCTGGAAGCATTCAAAGGTATTTAACAAATTGTGGTGGGGCTAGCCCATAGCACACAGGAAACCTCTAGTGAGAAGGTAGGAACAGCCGACTGAACCTTAGTAGCAGATGTTATCACATAAGAGATTGCAAAGAGGGGCTGGGAAGGTGGCTCAGTGGTAGAATGCTTGCCTCTCACATGCATGAGGCCCTGGGTTCGATTCCTCAGCACCACATAAGCAGAAAAAGCCAGAAGTGGCACTGTGGCTCAAGTGGTAGAGCACTAGCCTTGAGCTGAAGAGCTGAGGGACAGCGCTCAGGCCCAGAGCTCAAGTCCCATGACCAGCAAAAAAAAAAAAAAAAAAGAGAAATTGCAAAGACTGAGAAGAATACCTGCCCAGCACAAAACAGCCAGCTAGAGGACTGTGGAAAGGCGAAGAGGTTGACGGCAGAGGCAGGTAGTCTGGGGAGTACCCCTGGTCCTCTTTGGATGGGAAGAGGTAGGCCTCAGTAGCTGCCAAACAGACCTGTCTTCTCTCTGCTCACTGAACCAAGTACAATATTCACAGCATACCCGGATCATGCAAGCTGAGCTTCCTGGGCCTATACCAGCCAGGTTCCAAGACCTGTCTCTCTATACCCTGCAGGCCACATCCAGGCACCCATTATACCCAGCGGGCTGCAGCTGCAGTTGAGGAAAACATTGAGAACTGGAGCACAGGACGTCATTTCCTAATGTCCAGAATGAACTGTTCAGGACTGGAGAAAAGCATGTAGCTGCTCAAAATGTCATCAAGAGGCTCCAGAAAACAAGTTGGTTAATTACTCTCTGCCACAATTCTTTCAACAGTAAAACTGTGGAAACAAGCTTTTGTGGTCTAAGTCCAGAGATACAGAATTCTGTAACTGTTTCAAGATTGGCCTTGGCCAATGAGATCTGTGATCTGTGACTAAAAACACCTAGGTCCTCCATGAAAACTGACCAAAAGTCATTCAAACAAAACCAAACCCACATGTAACTGCTAGAACTGAGTTAAGCCCAGAGCAGGCAACAGGATGCCATGAAGATCACAGTCTGCCAACATGAACATTGACTCTATTTTCTTAAAAGATCATCATCTATGATATTTAGCCACATATAAAGACTCAATGCCACTTTTTCTCATGGCAGCAAACAAACCAGTAACGGCACATTAGACAATAAGAAACATGAAAAGATGGTTCCTGGATACAAGAACCAACCACTGGACAATAAAGAACATTCACATTACTTATTTTCTATCCATCAAATTTGGTCTTTATGGATAAGTCACGATGCCCTTTATGAGCCTTTGCATCTTATGTGTATATTCTGACTCAATTGTTTACACAGAAAAGAGCCCCACAAAAAGGATTTGCACAGGACCCCCACTCTTTAGATGCAGCCCTGGGCATAGGCTCTGATGGTCCTGGTTCCACTACTGGGCATTATGGCTAGCACTGGCTGTGGCTGGCAAAGGACAGGTATGTGCAGTGGAGCCAGTGATGGATCCTTGGCAGGGACGTTACTTGAGGAGGGTAGAGCTGTGCCAGCAGCTATTAGGGGTCTAGCTGTAGCTGACCTAGTTGCTAGGAGCTGTTACTCCAATTGTTGCCCATAGTTCTGGGATGGTCACCATACTAATCAATATGATTCTTTTCTCAATTGTGGCCATCCCCACCACCTCCCTTAGCCTCAGACTAGACCTTCACCTTCCCATCCCAGCTGTCTGCAGCAGGCCCTGAGAGCCTGAGTGCCCAAGGAAGGACAGGGGTAAATGAAGCAAGGGCTACAATGCCACATAAACAAAACTGATCCCAACAGGTACACTAGACATCGGATGTTTTCTGACAAAAAGGAAAGCTCTGAAGATAATAGTCTTACCTTATATGGCATGGATTCAAAGAAGATGGATGTTGCTGAGACTTTCTTCTTGTCAGTCATGAACCCATGGGTCAAATGGCCCCCATCAGGCAGGTCCAGGCCCATGATACGCCCATGGGGCTCTACCAGGGCAGTGTATACTGCGAAGTTTGCAGGGGAACCTGAAACAGGGAGGTCAGGAGTTGTGATGATTTCTACCATGAGACATTAATTGGTATCCAGGAGACTGGCTATTAGGCAGTCTTACTGAGGACTGGTAAAACACACCTGGCCATTACCACAACTTTCCTAAGCATCAAGAGGGACTCTGCACCAATCCCCTAGAGTAAGTGGAAGACAAGTCCAAGGGCAGAGCACTGTCTATAAGGGTTAGGAGCTCAAGAGCAACAGAGGGGGACAGAGAGCCCTTTATTTTTCACTTTTAAAGTCTTTCTTTGGACTATCTCAAGGAACATCAGCCCAGGCAACTTGACATGAAGGGCTGTCAGGCCCATATGGGCATAGCAATCACCTGAGTATGGCTGGACATTGACCCCCCAGCACTTAGGGTCCAGATGGTAGGCCTGCAGCGCTCGCTTCTGACATAGTATCTCCAGTTCATCAACGAACTCATTCCCGCCATAATACCTATGGAGAAAAGCAGGGGCCCACATCCACTGAGCCTCCAACCTCTTGCCTAGAAGAGGTCCAAGCTCAGGTGTGGGCAGAGCATGAACAAAGGAAGTGAGTCTCAGCTCCTTATCTTGCCCTAAAGTTGCTGAGAGGATCCAATGAAATAGATGTTGTGAAAACACCTAGCTAATCTTCTAAGACACAAGGCAAAGGGTATTTATTCACAGTAGACAAAGCCCTGAATGTCACCCTTAGACTTCTATAGAGCTTCAGGGGTATCTCTAGACAGAATGGCAGTTGATTCTTCAAGGTGACCTTTCTTTTTCTGTTTCCATGAGAACATAACTGCAGAAATTTACAATGCCAATGTCAAAGTCAGTATTTTCAGCTGGATACCAGTAGCTCATGCCTATAATCCTAGCTACTTGGGAGGCTAAGAATAGGAGGATCATAGGCTGGGCTTAGAAAAGTTTACAAGCCCTATAGTTAGGTACAACCTGGCATCTTAAATATGTGAAGAAAGACTGAGATGGGAAGATCACAGTTCTAGGCCAGTCCAGGCAAAAAAGTCCCAAGCCTCCCATGTCAACAAAGGGAACCTAAATATGGTGACATATGTCTGTCTTCCTAAAAACTACTGGAAGCTTAAAATAGGCAGAGTGCAGTACAGGTGCCAACCTGGGCAGGACTCTCATTTAAAAAAAAAAAATGGAAAGGGCTGGGAATGTGGCTTAGTTGTAGAGTACATGTATCAAGCCCTGGGTTCTAGTCCTCAGTACCACATAAGCAGAAAAAGCCAGAATTGGCACTGTGGCTCAAGTGTTAGAGTGCTAGCCTTGAGCAAAAGAATCTTAAGGACAGTGCCCAGGCCCTGAGTTCAAGCCACAGGACTAGCAAAAATAAATAAAAACATACATAAATACATAAATTGAGAAATAGAACCAGGTGGCTGAGATCTAAGAATAACAGTTCAAAGCCAACCCAGGCAGGCAAGTCTGTGAGATTCTTGTCTCCACCAAAAAGCTGGAAGTGGAGCTGTGGTTCAAGTAGTAGAACACTCGCCTTTAGCATGAAAACTCAGAGATAGCACCCAGGCCCTGAATTTAAGTCCAAGAATTAGCACCAAAAAATAATAATTATCAAGAAATAGGGCTAGAGATATGGCTCAGCAGTAGAGCAACTACTTAGTAAGGTGAAGGTCCTGAATTCAAACAAGAGTACTCCCCTCACCCCCGGAAAAAAAAGTTCAAGTTTTGAACAATTTTGAATTTTAGATCCTTAACAGTAAGTCATTACAAATATTCCAAAATCTGAAATACTTCTGGTCCCAAGCATTTCAGAGAAGGATGCTGAACCTGTTCTATAGGTTCCCTTTCACTCTGCACAGATGAGACAACTCTCATAGTATCAGCCATTTCTATGGCATCCCTCATAGGACACTGACCTTTTTTTTTTTTTTTTGTCGATCCTGGGGCTTGAATCTGGGCCTGGGCGCTATCCCTCAGCTCTTCAGCTCAAGGCTATCTCTCTACCACTTGAGCTACAGCGCCACTTCCAGTTTTCTGGTGGTTTATTGGAGATAAGAGTTTCACAGACTTTCCTGCCCGGGCTGGCTTTGAACTGCAATCCTCAGATCTCAGCCTCTTGAGTAGCTAGGATTACAGGCGTGAGACACTGGCGTCTGGTGACACTGACCTTTTCTAGACCGATGCTGAATTACACTCCTTACAGAGTGGCCTGCTATGTCAGAGAGCCCCAAAAGTGACTGTTTTTGTTGTTGTTTGTTTACTTTTTGTTGGTGTGGAGCCTGAACTCTGGGCCTGGACGCTGTCCCTCAGCTCTTCAGCTCAAGGACAGCGGTCTACCACTTGAGCCACAGCACCCCTTCCAGCTTTTTCTGCTTATGTGTTGCTGAGGAATCAAACCCCAGGGCCTCATACATGCAAGGCAAGCGCTCTATTACTGAGCCACCTTCCCAGCCCCCCTAAAAGGGACTATTAATGTGACCCTGAGTATGCTCACTCCAAGACCATCATTGGCATCAGGTTGGGAGTTGTAAGGGTTATGTGGAGAGCAGGAGTAGAAAAGAAATTCCACATGGGAAGCCTGTGGTTTTCTGCAACTTACACATTATTTGAATTCAACACTGATATAATATTTCACTATGCCAGAAATCACTCACCTCTGCCCAGGATACCCCTCAGAGTATTTGTTATTTAGGCAAGAGCCCAGGGCCTCCAATACTGCTCGGCTGGCGAAATTCTCTGAGGCAATCAACTCCAATCCAATCCTCTGCCGGTTACTCTCCTTCTTAATGATGTTGTAAACCTTACGTGAAGAAAACAAAAGCTAGACATTGGGACATTCCTGCTCAAAACTTTGCTCTGATCAAAGCTATAATCTAAAGAGAAAAGATGCTACCACAGATCCACATTGTGCTCTAAAAGTCCACCCAAACAACCACAATCAAGAAGACTACTTTAACATGTAAGGTACAGAATGTGTCTCCCTCAAAGGCTTTAACATTTGAGAAAGAATCTGAACTCAGAAAGATGATTTAAGAGAAAATTATCTTAACTCACTTTTGTTTTCTGGTGGTACTAGGGTTTGAACTCAGCACTTCATGCAAGCGAGGCTGGTGCTTTACTGCTGACCCATGTTTGCAGACTTCTTTTTCTGTGCCAGTTCTGGGGCTTGAACTCAGGGCATGGACACTGTCCCTGAACTTTTATAGCAATCTACCACTTGAGCCACAGCTCCACTTCCAGCGTTTGGGTAGCTAGCAAGAGATAAAAGTGTCTTGGACTTTCCTGCCTGGGCTGACTTCAACCCAATATCCTCAGATCTCAGCCTCCTGAGTTCTTAGGATTATAAATGTGAGCTACCTGGTGCCTGGCATGTGCTGGCTATTTTTGAGATAACATCATGTTTCTGGCCCAGGTACAAGTCTAGCCTGTGATCCTATTTTTTGTATTCCACCATAGCTGGAATGACAGCCATATAGTAATATGCCTAGCTATAGGTTGAAGAACCGTCTGTCAGATTTTTCTGCCTAGTCTGGCCTCAAACCACAATCTTTCTGATCTTAATCCCAAGTAGCTAGGATTATGCAAGTATGAACAACATGTACCTGGTTATAGCTCACATACTTTTAAATTTCACACATATTTTGTTTTTGGTGTCTTTTCTTTTTTTTTCTTTTTTCAGAACTGGGGATTGAACCCAGAACAAGGCACTTGCTAGGCAAATGCTTTTGCTACTGAGCTACATCCCAGCTCACATATCTTATTTGTATCCCATGTTCTTTCTTCCATGGACCTTATTTCTTAAAGAAAAAAAAATGTTTCAATAGATTCATACAGGGGAAAAATAGATCAGTGGTTGCCCAGAGCCGTGGTGTGGGGGAAGATTAGTGTAAATGCTAATAGGTTCTTGGGATACAAATGTTCTAAATTAGACTGTTAATAAAAACATCCCCCTACTTAAGGTATTTCAACTGGCCAGGCATTGGTTGCTCACACCTATAATCCTACAACTCAGGAGGCTGGCATCTGAGGATCACTGAAGCCAGTCGGGACAGGAAAGTCCATGAGACTCTTTATTTGGCCTGTCCTGGGCCTTGAACTCTGGACCTGAGTGCTGTCCCTGAACTCCTCTTGCATAAGGCTAGTACTCTACCACTTGAGCTACAGGACCACTTCCAGTTTTTCTGTGATTAATTGGAGATAAATCTCACCTACTTTCCTGCCTGGAATGGCTTCAAACTGTGATCCTTAGATCTCAGCCTCCTGACTAGCTAGGATTACAGGTGTGAGTTACTAGTACAAGGCTCATGTGACTCTCATCTCCAAGTAACTACCAAAAAACCGGAAGTGGAGCTTGGGTAAGTAGAAGAGCACTAGCCTTGAGTATAAAAGCTCAGAGACAGTGCCTAAGCCCTGAGTTCAAGCCCCGGAACCAGCACTTAAAAAAAAAAAAAAAAAAGAGATCTGGGAATGTGGCTTAGGTAAAGTGTTGCCTAACATGTATGAAGCCATGGGCTTGATTCCTCAGCACCATATAAACAGAAAAAGCCAGAAATGGCACTGTGGCTCAAATGGTAGAATGCTAGCCTTGAGCAAAAGAAGCTCAGGGACAGTGCCCAGGCCCTGAATTCAAGTCCCAGGACTGCCCCCTCCAAAAAACAGATATTTTAACTTTACAATGGTGGGAAAGCAATATGAATTCTGTAGAAATTATACATTTTAAATTTGGATCTCTTTTTAGGATAGAGAAGTAGTCCTGATTTTTCTTTTGATGCTGGACTGAAGCAGTAAGCAATAGCTCCCACTGAACACATGATTATGAGGAGCAACAACTGTTCCAAGCAGGCCTTGAACCCAGATCCTCCAATCTTTGCCTCCTGAATACTGGGATTACAGATATGTGTCAATTTTTTTTTTTTTTTTTTTTTGGTGGTGGTATGATTTTGCTAGGCAAGTTCTCTACCACTTGAGTCATTCCCCCAGCCTGTCAGTCCATTTGATTTAGAATATTTTCCACTTATGTATTTATCAAGATACAACCACATCCTAAACTGAAGGGCTTCTGTATGACAATAATTAATAAAGATGCTTGCAGGCATCTAAGCAGATACCCACCTGTACTGTGTAAGAGTCAAACTCAATGGCCTATCCTCTTGCTTTCCTCCATAGCACCTCTGTACAGTGCTGAGATCTACAGGAACTCACACTGATATAGCTATATTTACCCTCAAAGGACTTTCAACCAGTTTTTAAGCACTGCCTCTCAATCTGGTACTTTTTTTTGGTGGCGGTACTAGGTAGCAAACCTAGGGTCTCATACATGCTGGACTCTACCACATTCCCAGCCCTATGATCTGACACTCTTACGATAATAAAACTGTCCACAATAGTTAGTTTAGGATTTGAACTCATGATTTACAGGCTGGGGGTGCAGCTTAGTAGTAGAGCGCCTGTCTACTATGGGGGAGGCTTTAGGCTCCATCCTTAGCAACATACACACATAACCAAACACTGAAATAAAGGGGTCTTGATGTCAAATTGTGTGAAAACCACACAAATCTCACCTCAATGTCGCTGTCCTTGAGTGGCTGCACCAGCATCTTATCATGGGAGGCCCATAGGGCAACATCCTTGTGGGCCCCGTTGACTGAAGCCTTCTCCATCACACTGGTTCAAAGTTGCCTAAAACATGAGAAAAGCATAGGTAGAATCCTACATTAAATTTAGACAATGCTCACAGCAATCTGGAAGTTCTCCTCAGTGACTAAAGTGCTGACAGACTTTATTAGCCTTTTCCTCAGAATGCTTGATAAATATGAGACTAACCTATTGCAAAACCACTGTAAGCAACATTCTGCTCCTCCTCTCTGACCCACCCCACCCTAAAGCCTCCTCCAATCAGGTCTTCCTACACAGTGAGCCCATCTCGGATCCCTGGCCACTAACTTCTCTGGCACAGCCATCCCCTACCTCACCTCCAGTCCTCCAAATATACAAAGTTCTCTAAAGGTGAGAACAGTTCCTTTAAAAAAAAAAAATGTTCCATAGTACACAGCACAAATGATCAAACTGAAAAACAAATGATGTAAAAGCAGATAGACTGGAAGGAATCTAGTTAGGCTTCCATAGAATAAGAAAAAATTATTATTATTTTTTTTTTTTTGGTCGGTCATGGGGCTTGAACTCTGGGCTTGGGCGCTATCCCTCAGCTCTTCAGCTCAAGGCAAACACACTACCACTTGAGCTACAGCACCACTTCTGGTTTTCTAGTGGTTTATTGGAGATAAGAGTCTCACAGACTTTCCCACCAGGGCTGGCTTTGAACTGTGATCCTTAGATCTCAGCCTCCTGAGTAGCTAGGATTACAGGCGTGAGCCACCAGCACCCAGCTCAGAAAAATTCTTAATTTGCCAACTTTTCAGATTTTTGAGTGGTTACACAAATACATAACAGGCAGACAACTGGAATACTTCTTTCAAGATGCTCACTAGAGCATTTTATAATTTAAGTGCAGCAGACAGCAACTCTTCATTCAACCTAGACACATCTGTCAGACCCCAGCAACATGTACAAGGGAGTTTTGCTGTAAGAAATGCTCTAAAACTGGGGCATGGCTCAAGTGGTTAGCATTTGTGAGGTTCTGGGTTCCAGACACAGTACTGCCAAAAAAAAAAAGCATCTACAAGGTACTGAATACCCCTGTCTTACTGTATTCCTGGAACATTTTAATGTGCTCATTTTGGTCTCATTCCTAGTAATGAACTCAGAGAAGGAAGGTGCACATCAAGTCCTTGTGGAGGAAAATCAAGGCCAACTGGGCTTCTGGGAAGCTGCTAGTTATAGTGCAATACTTGCCAGAATAAACATCTTCCAATGAGAATTACAGGAGAATGTGGCAGGAGAATTGTAACTTTTAGGCCAGATTGGGCTACATGGCAAGACTCTATCTCAAAGGGGGTGAGGGGAGGGAGAAGGAATGGGATAGAATATGAACATTACAGATCAGATTTACATGTTCATATTTCTTTCTGTCCTTCTTTCTTTTCTTTTCTATTTTTTTTTTTTTTTTTGGGTCCGGTCATGGGGCCTGAACTCTGGGCCTGGGTGCTGTCCCTCAGCTCTTCAGCTCAAGGCTAGCGCTCTACCACTTGAGCCACAGCGCCACTTCCGGCTTTTTTCTTTTTGCTTATGTGGTGCTGAGGAATCGAACCCAGAGCCTCTGGCATGCAAGGCAAGCACTCTACCACTGAGCCACCTTCCCAGTCCTCTTTTCTTTTCTTTTTGCCAGTCTTGGAGCTTGAACTCAGGTCCTGGGTGCTGTCCCTAATCCTCTTTGTGTTCAATGCTAGCACTCTACTACTTGAACCACAGAGCCATTTCCAGCTTTTTTGAGTAGTTTATTGAAGATAAACGTCTCATGGGGACTTTTCTACACAGGCTGGCTTTGAACCACGATCCTAAGATCTCAGCCACCTAAGTAGCTAGGATTACAGGCATGAGCCATGGGCACCAGGCTCCATGTTTATATAACTGTTTAAAACACATGGGGGGGGGGGGGGGGCCTGGAAAGTTGGCTCAGTGGCAGAGCGCTTGCCTTGCATGCATGAGGCCCTGGGTTTGATTCCTCAACACCACATAAGCAAAAAGAAAAAAGCCGGAAGTGGCGCTGTGGCTCAAGTGGTAGAGCGCTAGCCTTGAGCTGAAGAGCTGAGGGACAGTGCCCAGGCCCAGAGTTCAGGCCCCACGACTGGACCCAAAAACAAAACAAAACAAAACACATAGGGTTGAGGAGTCACTCGAGTTATGCAGTACCTGCCTAGCAAGCACAAAGCCCTAAGTTCAAATCCCAGTACCACCAAAACCAAAAACAACACCCCTCAAAAAAAGCACCCAGGCCCAGAGTTCAGGCCCTATGACCGGACCCCCCCACCCAAAAAAAAATATAGCTGACTGTATCCTCCCCCATGTGTTTCTACAAAGAATTTCGAGATCAGTGGCATTTCCCATGTACAAGTTTGAACATTCAAGACACTGCCCTTCTTTAACCAATAGCTATCTGTTTTCTTATGCTTTTCCACTAATTTTGTTAAATGCTCATGTAAAAACTTCAGCACATACTTATTGGGGACGGAGGCGGGGACAGCTTCTGTTATGATGGTGAACAAATCTGACTGGAGCTTGCCCCTCTTTGGGGGTTCCTCTGGGACAAACACAGGCACTAATTGTAAGGACAAGAACCAGTCCTAGGGGTGACAGGGCAGGGAAGAAGGGGTTTCCATTAGGTAACCCAGAAAGGAGGCCTATTTGAGGAAGGATATCTTGACTGAAAAGATACTACTCACAAGAAAGCCCATTTTCCAAGAGTACATGCATATAATTTGCTAGACAAACAAAACCATTGAAAAAGTAGGCTAAAAAGTTCCAGATCACAGCAATCATCCTGTCTGGCAGGGCCAATAACAGGAACTGTCTATCATCTTGAACCAGAAAATTCCTAATTGGGGCTTTCAAAGCAGTCTTTATCTCAAGCAAGACATCATTAGGCTTAGAGCCATGCCTGCAAAATCAAAGTACTTGGACTCCAGTGCCCACCATGGAAGGCTCTCCACCACAGCAGCAACACCTTGTGAAGACCATATCTGCTCTAGCAGAGGTGATGACAGGGAACCTAAGAGGCTTTGGATACCAGTCCCCATGGCTTCTCTCACTGAGCTCAGCACTAAGGGACTACATGGCCAGTGCTACCCTAGCAAGCTTGATGTGACGGCATGTCCTTTTGCACATGAGAAAACCACATATCAACATCAGAACCCAGTGAGAGCCCAGAGGAGAAAGCTTCTCTTAAATATTAACTACTGAAGGTTACAAAGGATTCAAAAGTGCCTGCAACAGGAGGGGCTATTACCTAATCACTAAAAGACTAAAGTCCTTATGGAAATTTTTCTCTCCTGAGAGCAGGCCTCCAATCATGTAACAAAAGGCATTTAGTTCAGTATGAAGGGGGAGGAGGCCACTCTATCCATGGAACTCTGATTCCACTTCAGCAGAATGACTTGCAGCCCTTTTGCCCACCCACAAGACTTTTGCTGATTCAAGACAGTAGTTCTGAGTAAGGTTACCCCCAGCTTGAGAAGACTGCTCTCACTACGCTTGAGATTTCCACCTTGTTCCTTTTACCATGTAGAATCAAGTAACCTCTAAATTTGAGGAATACTCAGTCCTTTGTAGTGGCAGAACAAGTATAATAAAACCATAAGCTCATACCAGGCTTCAGTGACACACCCCATACAAATCTATGAGATTCTATTTCTAATTAACCAGCAAAATGCCAGAAGTGGAGGTGTGGCTCAAATGATGAGTGCCAGCTTTAAGCAGAAAAGCTAAGCTATGAGTTCAAGCCTTAGTACTGGCACAAACCCCTTCCCCCAAAACTACAACTTACTTTCTCTTTCTCTCTCTCTCTCTTCCCTCCCCCCTCTCTTTTTCTTTCTTTTTTTTTTTTTTTTGCTAGTCCTAAGCTTTGAACTCTGGTTTCAGCACTATGCCTAAACTCCTTTTGCTCAAGGCTAGCACTCTACCACTTGAGGTACAGTGCCACTTCGGGCTTTTTCTGTGACTAAGAGATAAGAGTCTTATGGACTTTGCTGACTGGGCTGGCTTCAAATCTTAGATCTCAACCTCTTGAGAAGCTAGGATTACAAGTGTAACCACCAGCACCCAGATAAAACCACAATTTTCTCCATTCCTAAATCAGGTTTTTTCCCCCCAAACCAAAAAAAGTTTGAATTATTTATTCAGAGTCCAAGATGTTTTTGTCTCATTTCAAGTGAACCTACTATATTCTGGGTCACTCTTAGTTATAGCAAGGAAGAGGAAAGACCCTGAGACCATAATCTCTTTCTGTCTTTTCCTGTCATGGGGCTTGAACTCAGAGCATAGGTGCTGTCCCTGGGCTTTTGTGCTCAAGACTAGCACTCTGCCAACATTACAAGCATGAGCCACCAACACCAACAGTCACTATCTAGCATTACAATCAGGTAACGTAGTATTATTGTAATATATATTACATATTGTAACTATAGTTTATATAATATAGTATTATACTATAATAACAGCCTTTTTCCTTTTTTTTGTTGGTTGTGGTGCCTGAACTCTGGGACTGGGCCCTGTCCCTCAGCTCTTCAGCTCAAAGCTAGCACTCTGCCACTTGAACCATAGCACCACTTCCGGTTTTTTTCTGCTTATGTGGTGCTGAGGAATCGAACCAGGGCCTCATGCATGCAAGGCAAGCTCTCTGACATTAAGCCACCTTCCCAGCCCAACAGCCTTTTTCTTTTTTCTTTTTTTTTTGGGTCCGGTCGTGGGGCCTGAACTCTGGGCCTGGGCGCTCTCCCTCAGCTCTTCAGCTCAAGGCTAGCACTCTACCACTTGAGCCACAGCGCCACTTCCGGCTTTTTTCTTTTTGCTCATGTGGTGCTGAGGAATCGAACCCAGGGCCTCAGGCATGCAAGGCAAGCGCTCTACCACTGAGCCACCTTCCCAGCCCCAGCCTGTTTTCTTAAGGTCTGGAAATTGGCAAAAAACAAAAACGAAAACAAAACAAAAGAAAAAAACCTATTATATTTTGTTTTGCTTTTAAATTACAAAAAAAATATACATGACACAAAATTCACCACTTTAACATTTTTTCCTTCAGTTGTAGGGCTTGAACTTTAGGCCTGGGCACTGACCCTGAGCTCTTCAGCTCAAGAAGAGTGCTCTACCACTTGAGCCACAGTGCCACTTCCAGTTTTCTGGTGGTTAATTGGAGATTTAAGAATCCCATGGACTTTTCTCCCCGGGCTGGCTTTGAATGGTAATCCTCCAATTTCAGACTCCTGAGTAGCTAGGATTATAGGTATGAGCCGCTGGCACCCCTCTTTCACTTTAATTTTTTTGGTAGCACTCAGGTTTGTACTCCGGGCTTTGAGTTTGCTAGCAGGTGTTCTATAGCTTAAGCCACACCTCCAGCTTTTTTTGCTTTAGTTACTTTTCAAGTATGGTGTCACATTTATGTCCAGGCTAGCCTAGACTTCGATCCACCTATTTATGCTCCCACATAGCTGGGATGACAGGTGCCACATTCAGCCTTTTATTGGCTCAGTTCAATCTTCCCCATCTCCACTCCTGAGTAGCTAGAATTACAGGCAGGAGACATGCACCCCACTTTAACAATTTTTAAGCATATAATTTTATGGCAGCAAGTACAGAACTCTCTCACCTTCCCTGCACTTTAATTAAACATTAACTGCTCATCCCCTCCAAACCCCTGCAACTACCATTCTAATTTTTGACTGTATCACATAGGATTTGACCTTTTGTACTTGGCTTATTTCACTCAGCATACTGTCTTCAAGATCCAGCCATAGGGGCTGGGAAGGTGGCTCAGTGGTAGCGTGCTTGCCTTGCATGCATGAGGCCCTGGGTTAGATTCCTCAGCACCACATAAGCAAAAAGAAAAAAGCCGGAAGTGGCGCTGTGGCTCAAGTGGTAGAGCGCTAGCCTTGAGCTGAAGAGCTGAGGCACAGCGCCCAGGCCCAGAGTTCAGGCCCCACAACCGGATCCCCCTCCCCCCCCCTAAAAAAAAAAAGATCCAGCCATATTGTACCATGTCAAAATTTTTTCTTTTTTAAAAAAAATTTTTGTAAGGGTGATTGCAATTACATAAGTAAGGTAATGAGTACATTTTTTTTTTTGTCGGTCATGGGGCTTGAACTCTGTCTGGGATTGGGCACTGTCCTTGAGCTCTTCAGCTCAAGGCAAGTGCTCTACCGCTTGAGCCACAGTGCTACGTCCTGTTTTCTAGTGCTTTATTGGAGATAAGAGTCTCACAGAGTTTCCTGCCTGGGCTGGCTTTAAACTGTGAACCTCAGCTCTCAGCCTCCTAAGTAGCTAGGATTACAGGTGCAAGCCACCGGCGCCTGGCATATGAGTACATTTCTTGTTGAGCATTGTTATCCCCTCCATTTTCTCTCCTACTTTCCCTCCCCCACCCCCCAAATTTTGTTTTCATGGCTGAAATAACATTCTACTGTATGTGATTGTGTGTATGCATGTATGTGTGTGTCACATTTTGTTTACCCATTAAACTTTTCAATGGACATTTGGGTTGCTTCTACCTGTTAGCAACTGTAGATAATGATGCTATGAATATTTATGTACACATACCTGCTTTAGTCTGGGGCTTTTTAATTCTTTAAGATGTATGCCCACCAGTGGAAATGCTTGATCATACAGTAATTAAGTTCAATTCAAAATAAGTTATGATATGCCAGGTATCAGGCTCACACCTGTAATCCTAGCTACTTAAAAGGCAGAGATCTGATGATCATGATTCAAAGCCAGCCCAGGCAGGAAATCCAATGAGACTCAACTCCAATTAACTACCAGAAAAGTAGGGCATAGAGCCGTGGTAGAGCATTAGCCTTGAGTACAAAAGTTCAGAGATAGCACCTAGGCCCTAAGTTCAAGCACCAGGGCAAGCATCAAAAAGAAAAATGAACTGATATCTAAGCATTCTATCCCACTGGTATTAGCCTAAAATGAATCCATTAATTCACTAAAATATACACTGAGCAACTCCTATGTCCCAGGCACAAAATGAGGCACTAAGAATACAAGTTAAACACAGATCTTGCTTATATGAAAAAGATTATAAATAAGTAAATGACAAATATACAAAATAGGGGTAGAGGGTGGCTTAAGTGATAGAGTGCCTATCTAGAAAGCTTAAGATCCTGAATTCAATTCCCAGTACTTCTGATAAACAAATACATCTATACAAGATAGCACTGTAGGGTAGGGAAGTTGGTTCAGTGGTAGAGTGCTTGCCTCGCATGCATGAAGCCCTGGGTTCGATTCCTCAGCACCACATAAGCAGAAAAAGCTGGAAGTGGTGCTGTGGCTCAAGTGGTAGAGTGCTAGCCTTGAGCTGAAGAGCTGAGGGACAGCACCCAGGCGGGGTTCAGGCCCCATAACTGACCAAGAAAAACAACAACAACAACAACAACAAAAAGAATACACAAGGCTGGGAATATGGCTTAGTGGTAGAGTGCTTCCCTAGCATGCATGAAGCCCTGGGTTCAATTCCTAAGAACCACATAAACAGGAAAAGCCAGAAGTGGCACTGTGGCTCAAGTGGTAGTGCTAGCCTTGGGCAAAAGCTCAGGGACAGTGCTCAGGTCCTGAGTTCAAGCTCCAGGACTAGCAAAGAAGGAAGGAAGGAAAGAAGGGAGGAAGGGAGGGAGGGAAAGAAAGAAAGAAAGAAAGACACACAAGACAATTAAGTGTGATGGTGACTATGTGGGCAATAAATTGCGGGAAGTGCCTGATCTGAAATCTGAAGAATGGAACAGAGCCAAGCACAGGAGATTTGAGGCGAGCAATCTAGGCAGAACACTCACTGGAATAGGAAGATATCTAAAGATCAGAAATCCAAATAATGTGGCAGAAGCCTAGGGAACAAAGCGACTGAGAGTGAATCTCAGTGACTGAGATTCAAAGGCCAAAAGATAAGACAAGTCAGGAGAAAGAATTCTTACATAGATGTTACAGATTTGACAAGTGTCAAAGTGCTTCTTAGAAACTTTGGTCTTGGCTATATTTCCCTATCTATTCGTGAAATCTGAAATGAATAACTAATGAAGCTCAGTAGGAGAAAATCTAGATTCCTTTTTTAAAGAGCAGATGGACAAGTGGTAAGATTCCCCCACTTTCAACAGCCAGGGGCCCTCAAGAGTAGGTATATATTGAAGAATACCACAAGAAGGGTAGTGGTTGCCCACCTATAATCCTAGGTAGTCAAGAGACTTGAGATCTGAGGATAACAGTTCAAAGTCAGCCTGGAACAAGAATGTCTGTGATACTCTCATTTCCAATTAATCAGCTGAAACTGGAGCTGTGACTCAAATGGTAGAGGCCCAGCCTTGAGTGGAAAAAGCTAAAGGACAGTGCCCTGAGTTCAAGCCCTCATATGGGCACAAAGGGGGGAAAAGGGTGACGGTAATGGCATTAAGTTCTGGGTTCAAAACCCATTCTGCATCTAACATACAAAGATGAGAACAGTCTGAAGCTGGCTATGAGTTACATACAGGAAATACAGACATAAGCATTCAGAACACTCGCAAGGCAGAACAAATAAATACCAGCAATCATTATTAAAGAAGCCTTAGGGTGCTGTTCCTTCCTGGGAACCCCTGCTGAGCACAGCTCTCTACAACCCTTGCCACTACGGTGTGGATAATTTCTGCAGACCACGGTTCCTCTGGGGAGACATGACCTTCACAATTAGGAATTAAGAAACTAAGAAGTCACAAGGCAAGACCACCAGCCTTTCTACATGTCCCAGTCTTTACCTGGGACTATGTGGATCCTGACACGGTGTGCAGAGGCAATTATCTCGTTGAATACATGGAGTGTCTCACAGAGGAGAGCTAACTTGTCTAAAGCCACAGTAAGGGTCAGAATCTGAACTTAGTATCCTTTCATTCTTTCCAGAACACCGGGAATCATCACAATCACCCACCTGCCCTGCCAATAGAAATGTAAAATTACATTCCACAGGAACCCAAACTGGTGTTTCCAATCCAGCAACTTGCCAAAGTGAAGAAGGCACAGAGCTGCACTGGCCTCACAGCGGACCAGAGGATCCCTTAACTCCCAGAACCTCGAAGTACAGGCACTGGGCCAAAAACCCGACAATGCAACATCTGTCTCCTGGATTTGGGCGTGCCAGATTGCAGACAAACAGGGATATCTGGGCACATGCAGACACCACGTTCACAGGGCTGGGAAAGCGGGCCTTCAGAAGGGAGGCTGGAGGGGGGGGGGCGCCTTCATTTGGGACTCTGCTGTTCTCAGCCGGGGTCTCTCTCGGAGTCTCACTTCCCTCTTGTGCAAAACGGGGGTGAATATTTGCTAGCGCCCTACCAGCAGCGTAGGAGTGCGGGTCCACAGATCAAGGTGAGGGTAGGTCCTCCATTCCAAAAGGTACAAGGCTTAAAACACGGTTCCGCAAAAGCGGCTACTTTTACCTATACAGTAAATCTTCACATCCGCACCAAAGGCGACCGGCCACGGTCTCCGTGACACCCATGTGCCCAGCACCGGGGCGCCGAGGCCCAGGCGCTCACCAACCGCTCCCGCGTGGTTCCCGCTGCGCAGCGGCGTGCGAACAGGAAAGCAAAGACCCTGAAGCACCCGCGGGAACGGAAGGCCGGAAGGCTGCCCACCTACCGGAATACGGCGGGCCCCCACGTGTCGGGCGACGCTTTAGCCTTAAATTGCTGCCGGTCTCACCGGGACCCAGACACCCGCCGACTGGTACTTTTGAGACCGCCACGTGACCCGCTGCACCCGCCAAGAACACAAACTTGGCGCGTAGCTGCTCACGACTTACAGGACGCTTTGGAGCTCACCGCCCCCCACCCCCTGGGCCCGCCTCCAGAAGAGACCAATCAGAGATCCTACCCAGACAGAGCCCGCCCTCACACGCCCAGGCATCATTGGTTGTGGGGAAAGAGTGGGCGGAGCTAGCAGCTATTCACAACGGGCTGGGCCTAGCCGGGCCTTAAGGGACCGTTGAGCTTGGAAGTCGGGAGGTGGGGGAGGGAGAGAGGTTTCCTGGAAGAAGCCATTTAAGTTCTCGGATTGTGGAGTGAATTTTATAATTTATCTTTGTAACTTTTCCACAGTTCTCCTGTCTGTTAACAGGTGGTCATTTGAATAGGACCATCGTGGGTTCTAACTGACACTAACAGGAATGGAATCCTAGACTGGTCCATTTTGCCTTTTTATCTTTTGGTTTTTTTCCATCATTGATTTGGAAACAATTCTGCTTTTCAGGGCTGTGAAGAGGATTAAAACACTGAGCATATATAACAAGGACTTGGTAAATACTAGCTTTTGTTAATAATAGCTTGATCCAGTTGTGGTGGTGTATGCCTGTAATCTCAGCACTCAGGAGGCTGAAGCAGAAGGCTCTTGAGTTCCAGGCCAGCCTGGGCTGCATGGAGAGACCCTGTCTCACAAGAACCAAAGTAGCAGAAGTAAAGCCTGCCTAGCATATGCAAGGACATGGGTTCCGTTTGCTGTGCACGCACACAGATACACACAAATGAATAAACATTTCAAAAGCTGTACAATACAGCGGTGGGAAAGTTGGCCACTAGAAATGGTGCCCACCAGCTAGACATTAGCTAGAAATGAGAAAAATAGGTGTATCCATCTGTTTTTCCAAAAAGTCAGGTGCTGATGTCTCATGCCCTTAATTTTAGCTACTCAGGAAGCTGAGGGTGGTAGTCTGAAGCCAGCCTGGGGTAGGAAAGCCCGTATGATTCTTCAATTAACCACCAAACACCAGAAGGGGAACTGTGGCTCAAGTGGTAGAGTGCCAGCATTGAAAAAGCTAAAGGACAGCACCCAAACCCTGAGTTCAAGCCTGAGTACTGACACACATACACAAACACAAAAAGTTTATTTAGCTGATGGTTGTGAGTGTTTTAAGGGCGGGGCATTAGGTTCTGGTGAAGAATCCATTTGTATGGCACTACAATGGCAGTAACAACAGATGACACTACAGAATATGAAGCCAGAGGGTTCAAGGATTAAGCTCTTGCAGTGATTTACCACTCTCTCTAAAACTAACTTAGGATCCCTTTAAAGCTACCCTGATCACTTGGAAAGGCAGTCACCTCTTAAAGGTCCTATCACCTTTTAATATCATGTCACAAGCTTCTAACACATGAACACTGGGAAAGACACAAACCAAGCCCCCGAATAATAGCAATGACCAGAGTGGTATCAGCCTAGCTTAATATCAGCTTTGATTTTTTTCCTAAAGGTATGTAAAGGTAAGAGAGAAATGAATATGATATGTAGCCTTGAGTAAGTCACTTGACCTAGCTGAACCTTGGTCAAGGTCACATTGGTTTCCACTCATTTTCTTACTGTCTTCTCTTGAACTTGGGACTCCTAGACTCCATCTATGGTCTTTGTTATTCTCTTTCCCAATCTCCTCAGACCAGCTCATCCACTCTTCAGACTGACACACAAATGATGGATGAGAGCTAGAGACAAATCTTGGAGTAAGAGTGTGAGTAGAAGTTGGGGTCAGCCGGGCGCCGGTGGCTCACGCCTATAATCCTAGCTACTCAGGAGGCTGAGATCTGAGGATCGCGGTTCAAAGCCAGCCTGGGCAGGAAAGACCGTGAGACTCCTATCTCCAATAAACCACTAGAAAACAGGAAGTGGGGCTGTAGCTCAAGTGGTAGAGCGCTCGCCTTGAGCTGAAGAGCTGAGGGACAGCACCCAGGCCCAGAGTTCAAGCCCCATGACCGACAAAAAAAAAAAAAAAAAAAGAAGTTGGGGTGAACAAACTGGGGGAAGATGAGTGCAGTAAGGCAAACAAGACTAGGCTGTCCATTGCTGCATTCCCACATCAGGCCACCTGTCTTTTTACTAGTCAGCAAAAAAAAAAAAAAGGAACTTGAAACTCTACTGTCATCATTTCTTTGTGTTACCCTGTGAAAGCATCATATAAATATAAAGCACATTTCTACTTCCCATCATGACCTAGTGGAAAGGACTGGGTTAACAAGTAGAAAACTGGGTAAAGCATAGTATCATTTTGCAGACATGGAACAAGAGGCAGAATAGAACCAGGATGCTTGAAGAAAGCAAACTAATCAAGAGGATCCTATGACTTCCTTGACTGGGTGCTTGGAGGCCTCTGAGAAATGGAAGCTACAAGGAGGCAGGGCTGAACAGGGGCTGCTGGTCTCACTGTGTTGAGCAGTAGACATCAAACCTGGCAAGTCTGTGGCACAGACAGGAAGGAGTTATGCAGATGATAAGCACTGGAAAACTGTATGGGGTTCCTTCAAGTTCTTGCCAAGAACTACATGTTGAAAACTCAAAGAACTATAAGCTAAAATTCCCAGGGATCACACCAGATAGGAAGATGTTCAATTTCTGACAAGCTGGAGTATGAGCCAGGGTATACAGTAGGGTCCTGAAAGCATGCCTTAGTAATAAATCTAAACAACCCCTGCAGTTAATCACTCTACATTTGTTCTTAGCAAAGCTATAAAATAAGCTTCAGACAGAAACAGCAAGGCTATAAAAGACTCAGCCCCATCACCAAACAGCGGGACCTAATGAATTTTATAGAGCACCCCACACTGCAAAAGTAAGTCGCCCATACTTTTTTTCCTTTATTTTTGTCAGTCATGGGGCTTGACCTCTGGGCATGGGTTCTTCAGCTCAAGGCTAGCGTTCTATCACTTGAGCCACAGCACCGCTTCTGCTTTCTAGTAGTTAATTGGAGATAAGAGTCTCATAGACTTTCCTTCCCGGGCTAGCTTTGAACCACGATCCTCAGATCTCAGCTCCCTGAGTAGCTAGGATTATACTTGTGAGCTACCGGTGCCTGGCCACCCATACTTTTCAAGTTACCAAGGAAGATAGATATACCAAGATGGATCAAATCCTAGGTCAAATGCATCAACCAACTTCAAAACCTTGAATTCATACAGTAGTGTTCTATCATGGAATTAAATCAGCAATGGAAAGAGATTATGATTATGAGATAAAGAGATCATGAAAATCCCAAACACTTAAAGACTTAAATAACCTACTCTATAAAGTACATTTTAAAGAGCATCTTGGGAGAAAAACATTTTAAATACATCAAAATGAATGGAAATAGAAATAATGCCAAGTGCCATTTGGTCACTCCTGTCATCAGCTTCTCAGGATCTGAGATTTGAGGATCATAATTTAAAGCCAGCCCGTGCATGAAAGTCCATGAGACTCTTATCTCCAATTATCCACCAAAAGAGCCATAAGTGAAACTATGGCTCAAGTGGTATAGCTCTAGTCTAGAACAAAAAAACTTAGAGAAGCTGGGTGCTGATGAGTCATATATGTAATCCTAGCTACTCAGGAAGCTGAGATCTAAGGGCTGCAGTTCAAAGACAGCTGGAGCAGGAAAATCAGACTCTATCTCCAATTAACAAACTAGAAAACTGGAAGTGGAGCTGCTCAAAGTGGCAGAGTGCTAGCCTTGAGCAAAAAAGCTCAGGGACAATGCCCAGGCCCCGAGTTCAAGCCACACAACTCGCTAGGGCTTGCCTAGCATGCATGAAGCCCTGGGTTTGATTCCTCAGTACCACATAAAAAGAAAAAGCCAGAAGTAGTACTGTGGCTCAAGTGGTAGAGTGCTAGCCTTGAGCAAAAGAAGCTCAGGAACAGTGCCCAGGCCCTGAGTTCAGACCTCAGGACTGGCAAAACAAACAACAAAATGAAACAATGCTCAGGAACAGCGCCCAGGCCTTGAGTTCAAGCCCCAGGATATACACACACATATACATGCACACAGAGAAAATGGAAATAGTGCCCTCGTACATTGTAAAAACTTAGAGAACATGTCAGGCATCAATAACTCATGCCTGTGATCCTAGCTACTCAGGTTGTTGAGATCTTAGTATGCTAGTTTGAAGCCAGCATAAGCAGAGAAATCCATGAGATTATTTCCAACTACCTAGCAAAAACACTGGAAAATATAGCGCACCAGTCTTGAATTAAAAAAAAAATAAGTTCAAGAGTTCAAGTCCAGGGCTGGGAAGGTGGCTCAGTGGTAGAGTGCTTGCCTTGCATGCCTGAGGCCCTGAGTTAGACTCCTCAGCACCACATAAGAAAAAAGAAAAAGGGCTGGGAAGGTGGCTCAGTGGTAGAGCGCTTGCCTTGCTTGCTGGAGGCCCTGGGTTCGATTCCTCAGGACCACATAAGAAAAAAGCCAGAAGTGGCGCTGTAGCTCAAGTGGTAGAGCGCTGGCCTTGAGCTGAAGAGCTGAGGGACAGCGCCCAGGCCCAGAGTTCAGGCCCCACGACCGGACCCACCCCCCCCCAAAAAAAAAGAGTTCAAGTCCAAATATGGACACGCACACATACACACACACACACACACACACACACACACACACACACACACACAAAACACTAATTCTATATCAATTCTACACAATCTTGTTAAATCCCCCAACCTCTAAACTGATTCATAAATAATGAGATCAGGGTCTTGAAGCAAATGAAATAAAGATTTCTTAATTTTGCCAAGCAGAATGGTGTAAGCTATTATCTCAGGCAGAAGCAGTCTTAGGAGGGTTTTATAGGAAAGTCCAGGAACAAAAAGCTTCTAGATATGAATGCACAGCTGATGACTGACTTCAGACTAGATGGTGGCCTTGGGCTTCTCATTTCTTGATATATTGGCTTGTCTCTAGAGTTGAATTCCTTGTTGTCCTGAATGTTCTTTCATTCCATGGTCATTAAGATAAAGAGAGGAGTTTGCCTGCAGCCATAAAGACATTCCTTCAAGTAGGAAAGGCAG